TTATCCATCAAAAATCCATATGAAGGCTTCCAGAATTTTATTTACCTGAATTAAACTGTTTTGATAGGAACAGTTCTCTTCCCTGTGAGGCAAAATGTCTCCTGTACAAAATGCTGAGCCTTGGCGCAGTGGTTGGCACTGGAGAAAGGCAGCAAAGACAGTCCAGGTGCTGATCCATGTATAGAGAGAGAATCACAAGCACAGCATGCATTTAAAAGATAAGGTATGTGTGGGAAAAGTGTTTCATGCAATGTCGAGCTACTGAGGTACTGTGGCAGGTGCTCTCACCTGGGCTTTACATTCCCAGTTAGAAAGAAAAACCCCAGCACCCTTCAGTGCCTGGCCCACAGAGCTGTGCCAGGACAGAGCCAGAGCCTGCCAGGGAGGGCAGAGCTCTGCTGGACCCAGCTCATGTCCAGCCAGCCCCTCCTGCAGGAACAGGCTGCAGCTGAGGGCTGGGACCTGCCCATGGCTGCAGCTTCTCATGGGGCATGGCCTTGTCCTGCAGCCCCTGGGTGTGTGAGCTGTGTCCTGCAGCCCCTGGGTGTGTGTGCTGTGTCCTGCAGCCCCTGGGTGTGTGAGCTGTGTCCTGCAGCCCCTGGGTGTGTGAGCTGTGTCCTGCAGCCCCTGGGTGTGTGAGCTGTATCCTGTAGTCCCTGGGGGATGTGGGACACCTGACCCTGGATCCCCCTGCTCTCTACCAGCCTGGCTGTGCGGGGCTCTGGGGTCAGGGGCCGGGCTGGTGCCTGTGGGACAGCACATCAAAGGGGATGTGGGACACTTGACCCTGGATCCCCCTGCTCTGTACCAGCCCGGCTGTGTGGGGCTCTGGGGTCAGGGGCCGGGCTGGTGCCTGTGGGACAGCACATCAAAGGGTCTGCCAGCTCTCAGACTGGGGAGTGTCCATTTTGGGCTGTTGGTTTTTAAAAAAAACCACAGCCCAGTGTCCCCCTTGGCACCACAGTGGCTGCTCTGTGTCATGCTGTGTGACATCCAACTCTGTGTGAAAACCCAGAGTCAGCCCTGGGGCTCCCGTCCCTTCCTCGGGGCTCTGCTCTCCCAGATCTGAACCTCTGAGGTGGATTTGAAAAAGTGTCTAACATCAGTAATTAATAATTTGTCTCCAACTGCAGCCCCCACCCAAACACTGACCACTTCTCCAGTGCAGTGACTGCCCACTTCTACTGTCACCAAACCACCCTGATTTCCTAAAACCAACAGCATTCAGATACTGGCATCAGTCAGCAAGTCCAGGTCTTGGTTTTTCTGTGCTAAAATATTTTCCTCTCAAAAAATGAAAAGCTTATGCTATGTTCATCTTCAACACCTGGATTTTTCTTCTTCCCATGGGTATCATGGAGAGATTTTTGAAAAAGGTTTTTTTTGGGTGTTTTTTGGTGGCTTTTACTGCATGGAAAAGGCCACGCATACCTTCCTCTCATCCCTGTGTACTGTTCTTCTGTTCAAGCTCAGAGATAAGCCGTGTGTCAACTGTGAAAAACTGTGCCAGAAGGAAATCCTACCTAGCAAGGCCAGGGATTTTTTGGTTAAAGACATTAAAACTTGCAGTCAGCTTGCTCTTTGGATCTTAAAAGATGATGACACCCTTAGTGCGCTGCCAGCTGGAGTCAAGGACTTTGCATCGCCCCCATCTCCTCCCCCATGGGTCTCTGCAGCAGTTTTCTCCCATTTTCACCACCCAGAAAATCCTTTTCCCAAGTTTCATGGATATTTCAGACTGACAACATGGCTCTCTTTTCATTCTCGGAATGTTCTGGAGCACCCGGAGCCTTGGATGCGCTCCCGCTGCAGTGCCTGCAGTTCTCCCTGCTGGTTTGGCTGGCCTGGGTGCAGCACTGGCAGTGCAGGGAGCTGAGCACAGCTGGAGCTGCCAGGAGCTGGGGCAGGGCTGCTCCCTGCCGGGCTCCAGCCCTGGCCGTGCCAGCCGGGTGTGGATCGGTGCCTGGCCAGAGCTGCCTCGGCTGCTTCCCCTGGCCCTGGGAACACCGGGCACAGTCACTGTCAAGGCTCTTGTCACCAGATTCTGTGGGAATCTGAAACGTGCAGCAGCCCCTCTTCACTGGGAGAGAGGATGCTGATACCAGTAAATAGTAAAAGGTGTTTTGCTGTTTCTAACTGTTTGCTGAACTAAGAGAACCCGCAATTGTGTCTCCTCTGCAAGGACTTTTAAAAAGAATTTGCATGAGAATCTTGACACAACTCCACGTTCTCCGTGTCCTTTGCTCTGTTTTATGAGAATCTTGAATTCAAATTAAACCCTTAGGAGAAGTCTGGGCCTCTCCCTTATTCCAGTTTGGTGCCTTTGGCCATTCCAGCCTTTACAGGTGGATGGTTGTCAGTCCCTGTTGCTGTTTCTGGCAAATCTCCTCTCACTCCCCTGGAGATGGTTCCAAACTGGGCCACTGGAAACTTCCCATTGGAAATATGGTGGGTTGGGCTTAGGTAGAAAGAATGCCCCTGGATCCCTGGCAGTGTCCCAGGCTGGGTTGGACACTGGGGCTGGAGCAGCCTGGGACAGGGGGAGGTGTCCCTGCCATGGCAGGGGTGGAACAGGGTGGGCTTTAAGGTCCTTCTAACCCAAGCCATTCCATGATAAAATAATTTTTTAACTATACCACTGCTCACTCTTTGAACTCTTCTTATGCCTGATGCTCAAATTCTCCAAGCAGTTCCATTACTGCCCTCCTCATCAGAAAGGCCCCCACCCACTGTGATGTGACCCTTCCAGGAGATTTGTGGGCTACTGTGTATTTGATTTCAGATCCATAGGAAGCAGCATCAGTATCTTGACTAAAGAATTATAAAATGTTTCTTGGAACAGTCTGGGAATTTTCACCTCTTGTTCTAATTGCCACAGCCAAAAATATTATGCTTTTGCCAGAATGTATCATCCTGATCAAAAATTTTTGATGGTTTTATGGCATTTCTGGATGAGCAGTGGGACTGAGGGAGTGCAAGGCTGCTCTGAAGCCAGGACACTGATGTGGGAGGCAGGGGACCAAGGGAGGGGTAACTGCTGACCTGCTGCCCGTGCCGGGCTGCTTGTGGATTCCCTTTGGTTTTTCTTGCACAAAATTTCAGTAGATCTTGGTTTGGTCCTGATGTGGAGCAAAACAAATTTCAAAACAAAATTCTCGGCTTTTGGCCAGCCCTAGAAGTGCTTTCAGTCAGCAGAAGTTTGTCTGGTGGTACCTATTTCCAAAGGCTCTTAAATCCCCAGGACAGGCTGTTCCTGGCCCCGTGAGCCATGCCATGCAAGCAGCTGAACTGGGGACACATTTGTCTCACAGCAGCCTCAAAGCGTGGTGGGGTTTTCCCCCTCCCATCCTTTTGTTGTTCTTGTTGTTCTTTTGGTTTCCACTGGTGTTTCTTGTGTCAGAGGCCTGGTGTTGTGGTGCACTAGTTTATTTAGTTGTTCTTTTGCACTGGGTGATTGGGAATTTGCACAGAGTAGTTTTCATATTGCACTGAATAATATCAGAAGATCAGGCAAAGGATGAAGGCTCAGTGGTGATGGATAACCAGGACCCAAACCTTCAGGTCCCTAAGTATGTATATATTTTATTTAATAAAAGCTTTGATTCTCCTTCTTTACAAGTGCAGGAGTTACTCTTTTCATCGCTTCTGCAAAGTGTGAGTAAACATATTCTGTACATTTTCTTTCTTAAACTGAAGAAAAACTAATTACATAATTCCTACTTTTATGTCTTCCTTTACATGGAAAAGCAGAATAATTCCATGCTGTGAACCAAACCAGAGTCTGAATTAGTTGTATTTACATTTTCTAGTAGCACTGAGCAAGTGAAGTGAATTGTTTGTAAGATTTGGGAAGGAATGGGAGCAAACAGGGATGTGCCAGGACCAGTGCTGCCGTGGTCTGATCTGACAGCAGGGCGGGCAGTGCCTGGTGCTGCTGAGGATCCCGTGTTCTCTCCTGGTGTTCCCAGAGCCAGCTGGGATCTCCAGGAAAGGAATATGTGGCTTAGCAGGTACTTGGCAAGTGATGGATGGCTGAGCAGGTGCAGGACACGGAGAGCCGTGGGCAGGGAGCAGGCACCAGCTCCAGGCTTCCAGAAAGGAAAAGTGGCAATTTCCCCTCTATTGCTGTATTGCTCTGACACCCAAACCTTCCTGTTTGATTAGATCCTGGCAGGTCTGTTCTAACCCCCAGCAGTATTCCCCAAGCAGTGGGGTGTGCACTCTGCTGTGCTGTGTGTCAGTGCAACAGAACATCAACCCAAAGGGATTGCTGTGTTGGACTTCACTGCACTGACGTGTTGCAATTCCCATCACAACTAATTGAGGATGGGGTGACATGGAAGTCCTGAGTGTCTTCCCGGGATCTATTTGAATGACGATTAAAAAAAAAAAAAAGAAAAGAAAAAAAAAGTACAAGAGCAGCTTTTTCTGGTGTTGTTTAACAGCCATTTGATCCCAATACTTGGGTTTCATCTCTGCTGTCTGTACTGTGGTGGAGGGCAATTTGTTTTCTTGCAAAAGGAATTTAGTCAGATGATTTTTGCTTGTGAAGGTGTAATCGCAGAATCCTGGAATGGTTTGGGTTGGAAAGGACCTTAAAGCCCATCCAGTGCCACCCCTGCCATGGCAGGGACACCTCCCACTGTCCCAGGCTGCTCCTGCCCCGGCCAGCCTGCCCTGGAACACTTCCAGGGATGGAGCAGCCACAGGTTCTCTGGGCAGCCTGTGCCAGCGCCTTTCTTCCTAACACCTAATCTAAATCTCTTGTAGTTTAAACCCGTTCAGCTATTGCAGAAACGCTGCAAACTGCTCAGCACGTTGCTGTTCATGGGTGATCGGGGCAGCCTGATGGAGCAGGTGCCAAAAGGCACTGAAGAGGATTTGGCAAAACTCCCGAGATTAAAAATCCTCCTCGTCCCGCGGCCGCTTTTGCGCATCTCTGCGGGCAGGAGCCCGGGCCGGGGCTGGTGGAGCGGAGCGGGGCTCGGCGCGCCCCTCGCCGTGGCGCGCCCGGCTCCGCGCTGCGGGCGGCGCTGCCGCTGCTGGGCACCGCCGTGTCCCTCTGCGCAGGTACGGCGGCACCGGGAGCGGCACCGGGAACACCGGGAGCAGCTCCGGGAGCGGGTCCGGGGGCTCCGGGAGCGGCACCGGGAGCGGCACCGGGAACACCGGGAGCGGCACCGGAGGCTCCGGGAGCAGCACCGGGAGCCGTTCCGGGAGCGGCTCCGGGAGCCGGGCGGTCGGGGCGCTGCGCTGGAGCCCCGCTGCCCCGTCCCGGCCGTGCGGCCGTCGGCGCTGGGGGTTCGGGCTCTCGGTGCCGCTGATCACAGGCACCGGGAGCGGCACCGGGAACACCGGGAGCGGCTCCGGGGGCACCGGGAGCGGCTCCGGGAGCGGCTCCGGGAGCGGCACCGGGAGCCGGGCGGTCGGGGCGCTGCGCTGGAGCCCCGCTGCCCCGTCCCGGCCGTGCGGCCGTCGGCGCTGGGGGTTCGGGCTCTCGGTGCCGCTGATCACGGCCCCGGTACCGAGAGCTGGGTCAGCGGGGACTCACCGAGCGGAGTCCCTGATCCCCGGGGCTTCCCCCGGCATCCCGGGCGGACCCGCCCCGGGCTCCGGCAGATCCTCGGGCGAGCGGCACCGGAGCCCCGGCAGGCCCGTCCCGGTGCCCCGCGCTGCCCGTGCCCACCGGGAGCCCGGTGCTGCCGCGCGGGTGCCTCTGTCAGGCGGCGGGCGCTGGGAGATGCTCCTGCCCTCAATGGTTCCTTCGGAGCCCAAACCCGCGCTCCCAGAGCGCTCTGCAGACCAGCGGTGGGCAAGGCAGCGCAACACAGAGCATTTTACAGTTTCTCTGTTAGGTCTAGTGGATTTTTCCTTTCTCTCCGTGCTTTCACCAGAGCGGTTTCCTTGTGTGGCGCTCGTTAGGACTTTGCAGAGAGCGGAGGTCGCACCCAGGTGCGGGGAAGGACCGTGTCCTTCCTGCTGCTCACAGAATTCCTGCTTTTGGATCGGCCAGGGAGGAGAACCAAGCTCACCTGTGGCTGTCAAGTGCTTCTGTGTAGTGCTGCACATCTGGTAACCTCTGGTACCTCGCAGGGTGTAAAACCCGCTCTGTAAGAGCTCTTCTCCTTTCTCTGGAGCTCTGCTGTGTTGGGAGTGCCCGGGACAGGCAGCCCGCTGTGCCCGGGGTAAAGCCGAGCATCGCACGCCGGGGCTGTCACCGGCTCCCTCCGGAGAGCTCCAGAGCGCTGCGGGGTCGCGCTGGCTCTGCGGGTTTGTGACCAAAGCCGTGCTTTGCTCCCTGCAGGTGCAGCGCGGGGTCCTGCTCTGCTCCCTGTGCCAGAGCCCGGCTCAGGCCGGGGGTGCACAGAGCAGACAGGCAGATGTGGCAATAGAGGGGACGGGCAGCGTGACTGTCTGGGTGGAAAATTCCTTGTCAGGCCCTCAGATGTGACTTCAGGAGCTTCCAGTGCTGGGGACTCATGTGCAAGCAGCTCCAGCCCCGCAGTGGATCATGCTGTCAGCCCGGGTTGTCTCACTGCCTCCCCGCGCAGTTTGTACCCTCAGCCCCTCACGGGCTGGGACCAGCACGCTCTTCTTCACTCTGTGCATGAGCTGCACGGCACAAAACCCCTGCTCTCAGCACTCTGCTGTGCCACTCCTGCCCCACAGAGCACAACCTTCCCAAGCACACCTCGCCTGTTCAGACCTAAAAATGTCCTTTGGCAGCTTATTCCACCAAAAGTAATTTTCCTGGGTGTTGTGGCTCTTTCCCTGCCCTGTTAATATTAATTTCAATGCCTGCACCCAGCTCCTGCCTGCTGGGTTTTGCCTTGGCTGCTGAACTTTTCCAGAATGGGGATTTTGAGCATCCAGTATCCTCCTTCCAAAATGATGATACTTGCAAATATTTATAAAATCATTCCCCAGATGTTTATTTAAGAAATCAAAACTCTGGAACTCTGTGATGTCTCTCATTCAAAGACATTTTCTCCTCAATTCTAGAACAAATACTTTTCCTCGCTTGTCTACAACTTTCTAGGTTTTGTCCTGTTTGGTATCAGACCTTCTAACAGTATATTTATAGAGCGAGCTTTCCCTCCAACTATTTTCTTTCAGAGCCCTCTCCAGAGGGGGAACTTCTTCATATTTTTCATAATAGTCCAAAAGGCAGGTTTGTATTTTTTCAGACCTATCATTGCTCAAAATTCCGGTTTTGCCTTCTGAAGAAATGTGTTACAAGAGACTGAAGTTGTCACTTGCATGGCTGGGGCTGGATCTGTCCCTGCTGTGCTGAGGGACACCCCGGCCCCGCTGGCCCTGCAGGGCTGGGGGGAGGATGGGGGCACTCGGGGGGCTCGGGGCTCTGTGCTGGGAGCTGCTGCCTCGTCCTCGCCGTGGCAGCTGCTGAGAGTCCCCAGGCACGGGCGGGGTGGGCTGTGCTCGTGGGTGCACCTGTGCTCTGCCCAGCCTGTGGCACTGGCACAGGAGGACAGGAGAGGAGAGCTTAGCTTAGTTTAGCTTAGCTTAGCTTAGCTTAGCTTGCTCCTGCTCCATGAAAATGTGCCCAGAGCTTTTGAGTACGTGTGAGTGGTGAGTACCCGACCCCATTCATCTTCTAGGTGTGATCTGTGATTTCATGGAACCTTCACGCCTCCCCAGAACTGCCTTTGACATGACAGCTGAGTTTCTCAGTGCCCGACCCCCTTGCTGTCTGTGCTGGAACTCTTCCTTCTTCTCCTGTGCTTTTCTGGGGTGGGTGACACATCTGAGCCCCGTGCCCCCATGGGGAGAGTGTGCTGGTCCCTGCCTGGGCTGTTTGTTCTGTGAGGTCACCGTGCTCTGGCCGTGCTGGAGCCCCCATCCCCGCGGGACCTGACAGCCTGTGGGTGTGGCAGTGACCTCAGCAGGGATGGAGGAACAGTTGGGCCCTCAGAGGGCCTTTCCTATCCAAACAACTCCCATTCCGTGGTGGGACTGTTGTGCAGTGCTCTGAAGTCAGCCCTCCCGGAGCTCTCAGCCAGCCCGGGGCACAGCCTGGCCCTGGCTGCTGCTCCCTGTGGCAGCAGAGCTCCTGTGCCGTGGCATCCCCAGTAATTGTGCAGCTGGGGAGCAAGGGGCTGTGCCAGAGCCACGGCACCTTTACTGGCACCTGCTCTGCTTCCTGTCCTGGCTCCGTCACCAGCAGGGGCTGGACAGGGGAAACAGCCAGTCTGTCATGTCTAGGATCTCCGATGAGCCCCTTTGTCCCACAGTGAAACTTTTGTCAGCTGGGACCCCTCTGAGCCCAGTGGGGCCCTGGTACGTGTCCTGGAACTCTGGGTGTCCTCTGGGTGTCCTCTGGGGTCCTCTGGTGTCCTCTGTCCTCACCTCCTGTGGGGAGGAAGCATCCCTGCCCCAGGATGGAGGTGGCCAGGGCAGCTGTGTCCTGGCACTGGGGTCTGTGCCTGAGCAGGGGATCCAGGCTGTGTGGAGAGCCCAGTCATGGCAGCCCCAGTCTGTTATGTGGAAATAAAATGAAAATGTACCTAGAAGGGCACAATAGACAATGACCATAAAAAATGATCAAAGATGGAAATGTTCTGGATATTCAGCCTTCCTCCCATCAGGCCACTTAGATCTTTGCTTTCCAGTTTAATTTTGAAATGCTCTGCTGCTGGCTATGGTGAGTAGTGATGGATTATGACTTAGTGGGAGATTAGTGCCCTGTTAATCTGTGTAGCAGAAAGTCTGTGCTGAGATGTAGAACCTTCTGTGGTTTGTAAGAGAGGGCAGGTCTGGGCTTTGCTCCCCCAGAGGTTTTAGTTTAAAAACTCTGTTAAAAAGCAGAGTTTTAGTTTTCTGTTAGCCCCGTGGTACGTGGGCTTGTGTTAAGTGTTCAATTCCTTCCATTTAACTTTAGAAGTTGTGCTGCCTTTAAACAAAGTGTTTAAATTATTCATTGTCTTAATGAAGCTGGTGTTTGAACTCCTGTTCTTCCATCGTCCATTTAACTTTAGAAGTTGCGCTGCCTAACAAAGTGTTTAAATTATTCATTGTCTTCATGAAGCTGGTGTTTGAACTCCTGTTCTTCCATCCCTGTTCCCTTGTAGTGTCACACCTGCTCCTCAGCTCTCCCGTGGCTCGTGTGCCTGAGGCTGACCCTTGCTGGCCGAGGGGTGGAAGCACACAAACCCATCTCCTGAGCTTGCTGGGAGTCAGGTGCTGGCTCTGCTCCCCCTGCTCCTAAGCTCATTGCATGTCTGCCTGTCCTCCGTGTTTCCTGGCAGTGGCTCTGAGAACTAAAAGGCAGGAAATGTCACTTTTTAGGAAAGTCAGGCAGATTATTCTTTTCTCTGAAGACCAAGTCATCCTGCCCTTGATGCATGGTGGGGCTCACCAAGAATCGGGTGTGTGATCCCAGCTCCTGCTGCAATGACAGCAGGAAAAATGTCCTTGAAAACCATGTATGAGTTAAAAACACCAAACCCAGGAAGCCTCTGCTCCTGGGGTGTCTGTACCCAAAATCTGCTCTCCTTGAGTGCCCCTCAGGCAGCTCGTGCCTTCTGTTGCTGTGGGGCCCTGTCAGTGCCACTGCCCTGGGAGGGGTCCCTCTGTCCCTCGGCCTGTCTGTGACTGCTGTCCCTGCAGAGGAGCCTGTGGGGTCCCTGCCCTGCCCTGTCCTGGGGGCACAGCCCAGGTCCCAGTGGGATGGGTGATGGGCCCTGGCAGGGTCAGGGCACATTTGGGCAGGCTGCTGCAGAGCTCGTGCTCAGGGAGCTGGCACTGCTGGTGGCAGCTCTGGATGCCTGGCGTGCTCTCTGCAGCCATGGTGTGTTTCAGTTGTTCACTTTCTCCTGATTTCCCAACCAGAGAATGGAATGCTTTAAGGGAATTGTTGTGCTAGAGTAAATAAAGAGTCCTGTTCATTACCAGATTATAGAGTGCCTTATTTGGAAAGTTTGGGAGCACATTTTCTGCCTGCCTCTTTGATCCTTTAACTCTTTGACAGTCACCTTATTCCATTCCTTGGTCTCCAGGGTGGTGGGAGTCCTGACTTTTGCCCTGAGACAGAGCATCCCCAATGGCATTGCCAGGACTGTCCTCAGGAATGGCTGTGGGGAGGGAGGAAACATTTCTTGCTGCACAGAGGATTTCAGTCAATAGTTGCAAATTCTTCCTCCTCTCTCGTGCTCTGTGGGAGGGAAGCAGCTCAAAGGTGGTGCTGGCTTGGACAGTGAGAGGGAGAGCTCCCATCCTGTGCTGCCACCCCTCTGGCCTGCAGGCTGAGGGGAATGCCTTGCTGGCTCCTCTGGGATGGCAGCGGGGCAGAATTAGAGCAGGAATGATCCAGAGGTGTAGCGTGAAACTTGGGATGCATCGCCAGGGGTTGTGGGTGGAGCTGACCTGGACAGCTCTCTCCAGTGGAAGGAGCTGATGTGGGTAACCAGAGCAGCACTGGGGCGTTCCTGGTGGAGCAGAACAGACAAAGCACGAGCCCTGGTGGGTGCTGTGTCCCTGAGGATGTCAGCAGGGCTGGGGACACGGGCTCCTTGGGGCAGGAGTGGTTGCACAGGGTCTGTGAGGAGCATGGGAGGCACAGCAGGGCTGTGGCACTGGCTTGTCACCCCTGCTCAGTGGGGTGGCACTGGGAAACCCCTGGATCTTCCCAAGGGAGTGTTCACAAGGGCCCAGGCTCCTCCCCTGATTCCACAAGAGCTGAGGCAGCTGAAGTAGCACAGGTGCAAGAAACCTGTGCTTTAATGGTTGTATTCAATCCCCTTTCCCTGTTAGCAAAGGGTTCTGGATGGACACGAATGCTCTTGAGAGCAGGGTCAGGGATTTGTACCTGGTTTGTGATTTCTATCAATTTTTCTGCATGAGAAGTCAGCCAGCAGCACAGCAGGTATCTGAGGAACCCGAGGCTTCTGCTTCTGTAGAATTATGTTTAAAAGCGGTCTCTGAAACGTCCATTTTTCTGCATGAGGAGTCAGCCAGCAGCACAGCAGGAACCCGAGGCTTCTGCTTCTGTAGAATTATGTTTAAAAGCGGTCTCTGAAACTCTTCTGTGAGGAAAGTGTCCTGCCTTTCCCACAGCTCCAGCTCTGATCTTGTCTGAACAGCTTCAGCTGCAGTTTTCCATGTTCCCCGAGGTGAGGGCAGGATTTGGTGGTGCAGAGCCCTTGTGCTTGTGGCAGTGGCTCTCTCAGCGTGGTCAGGGTGAGGGTACAGAGCTCCCCAACCACCCTCAACTCACCCCGTGTTTGAGGGGCTCAGAGGGGCCCCTGGGGCTGCTCGGGATGTGCAGGGGCAGTTTTGGTCCCAAGTAATCTGCAAGTACAGAGCATGGTCAAACCTGTCAGTTATCCACTGCAGATGACGTAATAAAAATAATTTTCCATTTTATTTTTAGACTGTGAGAAAGGGAGAAAAACACCATAATGACGTGTCTAAAGCCCCGAAGACACTTGCAACAATCTTAGACTCATTTCCTCAATAATGCTTTTATTTTGCAGTTTTGGTGATGATGTGTCTGTTTTCCTCCTGCTAGATCTCTAATTTATTTGGGTGTGATGAGTCCTTCTGCTGGCAGCAGTTCTAGGTAATGTCTTTAAGGGGAGATTTGGCTGCTGTGCTGTGTGTGATGGATGTGCCTGCTCCTGTGCCGAGGAGCAGCTCCTGGCACAGCCCCCCAGCACAGACACCATGCCAGGGAAGTTTGTCGTGGGCCCGAGCTGAAGATGATGAACACTCCCAGCTGTCATTTCAGAAGGGTGGCACAGGATGGGGATTGTTGTGAGGGAAGCAAGGAGTGACAAAGAAACAGAAATCAGATTTGTGCTGACGCCTGTCAGGAGTTCTGTGCTCCTCTGGGGACTCTGGGATTGCAGAGTCATGGAATTGTTTACGCTGGAAAACCCCTCCAAGATCTTTGAGCCCAGCTGTGCCCCCAGCACTGGCAAACCTACCACTAACCCATGTTTTACTTTTCAATTCTCTCTTATCCTTAGATAAAATAAAACCCCTCTCCCCACAATTCCAAAAGAAACAGAAAGATTTATGGCTGAAATTATTGTCCCGAGTAGAGCAGGGCTCAGTCTTGCAGAGTTGGAGCTGGCCCAGAAAGGGTAGCCTGGACAAGGTGCCTCATCTCAGCAGGCACGGGGAGGAGTCTGTCACTGTGCCCATGTGTGTGTGACCTGGCTCGGGCTGTCACCAGCCAGCTCTGTGCTGTGTGTGTGTGACCTGGCTTGGGCTGTCACCAGCCCTGGGGTGGCTGCTGTGGGCAGGTGACAGGACAGGCAGGGGGTGCCGTGGTTTTGGGAGCCACCCTGCAGGGGAACTGCTTTTTGGGGTGGCCAGTCTTCACCACAAAAGACAGATGACGTCTATAAAATCCCCTGGGACCGAGATTTAGACATTGTCAGGTGTGGATGCTGAGGACCCGTGCTGCCGGGGTGTCCAGCTCCCCGCTGCGGCCCAGCGCCCCATTGCCAGCACCGGCCGTGCAGAGCTCGCAGGGGTGCCCTGTGGATGCTGGGGACCCGTGCTGCCGGGGTGTCCTGGCACCGGCTCCCCGCTGTGGCCCAGCGCCCCATTGCCAGCACCGGCCGTGCAGAGCTCGCAGGGGTGCCCCTGGCCAGCCAGCCAGCACGGCGTGCAGGGCTGGCGTGCCAGGCCTTGTCCCACAGCTGTGCCCCGCTTTGCAGGCCTGCAGTGCGTGTGCCAGCTGTGCGAGCACACCAACTTCACCTGCCAGACGGAGGGCGCCTGCTGGGCCTCGGTGATGCTGACCAACGGGCGCGAGGAGGTGGTCAAGTCCTGCGTGTCCCTGCCCGAGCTCCACGCCCAGGTCTTCTGCCACAGCTCCAAGAACATCACCAAGACCGAGTGCTGCTACACCGACTTCTGCAACAACATCACGCTGCGCCTGCCGCTCGGTGAGTGCCGGGGCGCGGGGCGGCCTGTCCAGGGGCTCGGGGCTGGGCACACTGAGGGCCTGTCCTGGCCTCTTCCAGAGAGAAAAAGGCAAACTGCAGCCTGTCCAGGGCCTCGGGGCTGGGCACGCTGAGGGCCTGTCCTGGCCTCTTCCAGACAGCAAAAGGCAAAGTGCAGCCTGTCCAGGGGCTCGGGGCTGGGCGTGCTGAGGGATGTATCCCAGCCTGTTCCAGATGGAAAACGGCAAACTGCAGCCTGTCCAGGGGCTCGGGCTGGCTGGGCATGCTGAGGGATGTATCCCAGCCTGTTCCAGATGGAAAACGGCAAACTGCAGCCTGTCCAGGGGCTCGGGCTGGCTGGGTGTGCTGAGGGCTGTATCCCAGCCTGTTCCAACAGCAAAAGGCAAAGTGCAGCTCTGCCTGCAGGAGAGGGAAGTTCTTGCCTTTCCAAGGGTACCCCCACGGCTGCCCTCGATGCCCACAGGTTTTCTGGGGCAGGGCAGTGGGGGACCCCAAGGCAGTGCAGGGACCCCTTTGGCCGAGGCAGGTTCAGCAGTCTGAGCTGGGGTGGCCGTGGGGGACGTGAGCAGCCTGTGAGGCAGCTGGTCTGCGGTGTCACCGGGTGCCACCGAGTCCTGCTCAGCAGGGAGGGGAGGCTGTGAGATTCCTGGTCCTAGAGAGGGAGGAAAAAGGCTGGCACTCCCAGGAGCGCTGTGTCACCCAGCTGGTGCAGTGTGTGAGTCTGCCAGGCTCAAACTTGTGTAACAAAGTTGATCTGGTGCTTTCTAAAAAGAAATATTTATACTATTTTTAGCATAATTTTAGGTTTTTTTTCTTTCCAAGATTTGGAAAGAAATGCCAATTTTTGTGTTAATTCCAGACTTTTTTTAAAAAAAGGTGTAAAATACACTATTTTATCAGATAATACCTTTTTATATACTTACAGTAATGAGATATGTTGCAGGTAAGAAAGATGCAAATTAACATACAATTAAAAATTATAGCTTGAATTTAAGAAGCTATCATGTAGCTCTTAATGGAATTGGAAAGGCTGTTGCTGGGCAGACCATGGGGGAGCTGCTGTGGGAGCCTTGGGCACTGTCACCTCCTGCTGAACCCTGGTACCAGCCTCACCTGTGCTGTGGGGCAGGAATCAGGATTATTTAATTGGTGCTGAGGATAATTTGTGTGATGCTTGTATCCCCACAGATGACTGGGGATACAAGCATCATCAAGTCACCCTAGGACATTGTTTTTCTTTCAGCTGACCACAGAAGGGACACACAAATTGTGGTTGTGCTCTAGAAATAAAGTGCCATGGTGGTTTCTCCAAGCTGGGAAGAAAGCTGCTATTTCTAGAGGAGCAGCAGAGGCACATCTGCTATTCCAGCACTTGAGCTGGGACTTGCAAAATCTCTGGTTTCATATTTCAGTTCCCAAAAAAAAGGACTGAATTCCTGCCCCGAGCCCTTTGCTCTAAAGGTTCAGGGGAACTGGTGTCAGTGGGAACTGTATCAGTGCAATGAGGTTTCTGTGCTGGCCTTGCCCCACAGCCCTTCCTCACATGGCTCATGCTGCCAAGAAGGGGCGTGGGGACGGCTCGGGGGCCAGCCCCTTGTCCCAGACATCTGACAAGGGGCACCTGGGACAGACACCTGCGTAGGGAAGGTCTGTTGTGCCTTGTCTGTATCACCTGTCATCCATCTATCTATCTATCTATCTATCTATCTATCTATCTATCTATCTATCTATCTGTCTGTCTGTCTATCTATCTATCCATCTATCCATCATCTATCTATATCTATCTATCAATCATCTATCCATCTATCTATCTATCCATCCATATCCATCCATATCCATCCATATCCATCAATCATCCATCAATTATCTATCTATCCATCTATCTATCTATCTATATCTATATATCTATCTGTCTATCATCTAACTATATCTATCTACCTATCTATCCATATCCATCAATCATCCATCAATTATCTATCTATCCATCTATCTATCCATCATCTATCTATATGTATCTATCAATCATCTATCCATCTATCTATCTATCTATCTATCTATCTATCTATCTATCTATCTATCTATCTATCTATCTATCTATCTATCTATCTATCTATCTATCTATCTATCTATCTATCTATCTATCTATCCATATCCATCAATTATCCATCAATCATCTGTCTATCTGTCTGTCTATCTATCCATCTATATCTATCTATCTATCCATCTACCTACCTATAATTATAACTATCTCTGTCTCTCTATTTCTGTCTATTTCTATGTCTATCTCTATTTTCTATATAAATCTCCTTATATATGTACCTACCTTTGTGTGTGTATATATATATATATTTCTACCTTTGTGTGTATATACATATATATATTTCTTTATGTATATACATATATGTATGTCTGCCCACGTACCTGCTGACCTGTCTATCTCCATTAAGCAGACTCTAGTTTAAAAGTGGAGCATGTGGCCATGAGCAGCTTGCCTTTAGGCAGGAGTGACTCTCCAGCAGGAGAAACCCTGGGAAGGTCCAGCAGGGTGGCCAGCCCTGCCGGGGAGGCAGGACCTCAGCGTCCTTCTGGGACACAAACCCAGCCTCAGCTCCTGTCCGTGGAGCTGGCCTGCCCAGCTCAAAGGCTGGATGGGGCTGGGAGCAGCCTGCACTGATGGGAAGTGTCCCTGCCCACGGCAGAGCTTGGAAACAGCTGAGTTTCAGCTTCCTCCCAACCCAAACCGCTGTGGGATCCCGTGACTGTAATTAGCAGAGTTCTGTGTTGTAGAGGAGTTCCTGAGAGCAGCAGAGGATCTCTGAGGGCAGAGGGCAGTGTGTGCTTGGTGCTTGAATTGCCCTGGCAGAGCTGCAGGTGGCAATGCCTGCCCTGGCAGCACAGGGCTTGGGCTGGGGCCTTGGGTGACAGGAGATGACGTTTCCCTTGGGGTTTTTTTCTTTCCTTGGTTTCTTTTTTTACAATGTCTGAAAATCTTTAAGGATGGATTAAACCTGGATCTCTGCTTTTACATCCTGCTTCTTGTGGGCAGGGATTTCATTGTGGCATATTGCATTAGCAGGGGAAAATGTTGGAGTGCAGGATGAGTTTGCAGTAACTGGTTTTTTTCTGTGTCACCCTGGATTCCTTTCCAGGTTTTTGCTGGTTTAACTGGGGTGCTTTCTGCCCCAGCAGGTGACTTGAGATGTGCTTCTCCTGTCACAGTGGGGCTGCAGAAAACCCCTTGAGGAGCCTCCCCATGATAAATCACCCCTTGTACATCCCTCATTCTTGTTCTCTCTGCAGAGCTCACCACCGTGCCCTCAGCATGGAACAGGCTGCCTGCAGTAGTTGCTAATCAGACCTTGATTTTTCCAGCTGTAGATTTGTGTCTTACAGGATTTTTGGGCCATATTTGAGATCTGGGAGACAGAGTTTGTGATCTCTGCCTCCCCCACAATGGTGAGTGGAGTCTATATTCATGGTGGAAGCTGGAGAAAATTTTAGACTCTAGCCCAAACTATATTTTTAAAGTAGTTTTAAGTATTCTGTAGAGCTGACTAGAGCCTCCCCATTAATAGCACGCAATAGATTTTCTTACTACATTGGAAAGAATATGTAATTTTGCCCACTGAGTAGCCTGGGAACACACACAGTTCGGGGCTTTTGGAAGCCTTGCAGTGGAAGCTTTACAGTGTCAGAAGCAAATGCTGTGTGTGAGAGTGTCTTTTCCATCAGAGGGAAAAAATAATTTATTTCTTTTGCTGCCTGCAAGTACTATTTTGTTTACAGAAGCTGGACCATAAGTGCAGTGCGTTGTGAAACTGCTGAGCACTGCCAGAGGTGCTGCTTTGGGGCACACATGGCAGCGTCTCAGCCCCACTCCTGTTAGTCAGGCAGCGAACAGAGCTTTGGGTGCTGCTGTGCTGTATTGCACAGCAGTGCAGGGGTGCTGTATTGCACAGCAGTGCAGGGGTGCAGGTGTGCTGTATTGCACAGCAGTGCAGGAGTGCTGTATTGCACAGCAGTGCAGGGGTGCTGTATTGCACAGCAGTGCAGGAGTGCTGTGTTGCACAGCAGTGCAGGAGTGCTGTGTTGCACAGCAGTGCAGGGGTGCTGCATTGCACAGTGCAGGCGTGCTGGTGCTGGCCGTGCAGCACCCTCAGCTGCTGCTGGAGCTCTGGCCGTGCTGCCAGGGCAGGGAATGCAGGTCAGTGCTGGAGCAGGGATCTCCACTGAGCCTGGGCCAGTCTGGGAGCGTGCCCTGCCCAGGCCCTTCCCAACAGAGCAGTTCTCGCTGCTCAAACCTCCTGATGGTTTTCCTCGTTACTGTTTTTGTTACTGCGGTGGCCCAAGAACAAGAAACTTCGATTTTGTTCGTGTCACGTTGTTTTTCAGCAGCTGGTGGGAAGAAATGACGTGGTGTGGTCAGCGTCTCCCGCAGGGAGGAATGAACCTCATTCCCACCCGGAATGAGGCTGCAAGCCCTGCGGGGAGGAGGCTGCTTGCATGGCACAGGGGAAGTGCTGAACAGCCCGGGGACAGCTCATGCCCTGTGCTCTGTACCCGCTGTGAACCCGTCCCCTGGCTGGCACAGAGCCAGTCCTGTCCTGCAGTGTCCCCTCCACAGAGCCAGTCCCACTGTCCTGCTGTCCTGCACAGTGCCAGTCCTGTCCTGCAGTGTCCCCTGCACAGAGCCAGTCCTGCTGTCCTGCACAGAGCCAGTCCTGTCCTGCAGTGTCCCCTGCACAGAGCCAGTCCTGCTGTCCCCTGCACAGAGCCAGTCCTGTCCTGCAGTGTCCCCTGCACAGAGCCAGTCCTGTCCTGCAGTGTCCCCTGCACAGAGCCTGTCCTGTCCTGCAGTGTCCGTGTCCCCTGCACAGTCTGGGCTGGCAGGGTGGTTCAGTGAGGTGCCAGAGCTCCTGGGGTGGGGGATCTCTGTGCTGTACTCCCTCCCTGTTTCACGGAAACCTCAGCCCTGTGGAAACAGAATGAAAAGTGTTTAGGAAATCCTGGGATGTCAGTTAACAAGCAGCAGTTCCAAGGAGGAATCCTGCTCATAAATCCTCTTACAAACCCTCTGGGTCACCCTGGAGCAGCCTCTTGAAGTCATCAAAGGAAAAACCTGTGAACAAAATGTACCAGCTTTGTGTTCAGGAGGGCTGGAGTTGTGCTGGTGAACAGACATGTGGTATTGACTGCAGGAAGGGAGCCGTGGGTGCTGAGCCTGTTTGCTGCTGCCTTTGAGACCCCACATAACTCCAGGTTATGGTGTGCTTGAGGCCCAGCTTCGCCCTGAAGGGAAGGACTGACCTGGCACGGGGTGGAGTTTGTGATTTTTACATCTTCTGCAGCCCTGAGATCTTGTTTGTACTCATGGTTCTGAGTGTTGAGGTTTCTTTTATGGGTCGTATTCCTGGTTTGTTTTATTTGGGGGGAAAGTGCTGGTTTATTTTTATTTTAAACTTATTTCACATTTTGGGGACATGAAAAGAATCATGTTGGTGTTCCTGTGCAAGTGAATCCCTCAGCAGTGCCTTTCTAGAGCTTCTTGATACAGAGCTCCTTGGGTGCTGGTCAGAATGCTGGCCTGAGACCAAGCTCCCTGCTCAGAAGGCGCGTGGGGGAAAGGCTCTGCACTTGCAGCCACGAGGGTCTGTTCTGTCTGCTCTGTCTCCTGGCCAGGACAACAGTGGGGAAGCATCGAGTGGAGGAAAGGAGACTCAGGGTGCCCTCATCACTGTGCACAGCTCCTGAAAGGTGCCTGTGCTCAGCTGGGGCTGGGCTCTGTCTCCAGGCAGCACAGATAGAACCAGAGCACACAGCCTCAACCGCACCAAGGGAAATTTAGGTTGGATATCAGGAAAAAGTGTTTTACAGAAAGGGTGATGAAGTTCTGGAATGTTCTGCCTGGGGAGGTGGTGGAGTCACCATCCCTGGGTGTGTTTAACAAAGCCTGGATGTGGCACTGCGTGCCGGGGTTTAGTTGAGCTGTTGGGGCTGGGTGGGACTCCATGATCTTGGAGGTCTCTTCCAACCTGGGAATTGTGTGATTCTGTGATTGTCTGTGATTGTCTGTGATTGTCTGTGAATCTATGATTCTGTGTGATTCTGTGATTGTGTGATTCTGTGTGAACCTCTTTCAGTGATTCTGTGTGATTCTGTGTGATCCTGCGTGAATCTGAGTGATTCTGTGAATCTGATTGTGTGATTCTGAAATTGTGTGCTTCTGTGATGCTGTGTGAATTTGTGATTCTGTGATTGTGTGAATCTGTGACTGTGTGATCCTGTGGAACTGTGGTGACCGCTGCTGTGTGCAGCTGTGCAGCCAGCCAGTCGCTGTGACCCCAGTGTCACGGCTCTCCCGTGTCCCTGTCCCCGCTGTCACACCTCTCCGTGTCACCCCGCTGTCATGGCTCTGTGTGTGTGTCTGCCCCTGTCCCCGCTGTCACAGCTCTCCGTGTCACCCCGCTGTCACGGCTCTGTGTGTGTGTCCCTGTACCCCAGTGTCACGGCTCTGTGTGTGTGTGTGCCCCTGTCCCGCGTGGAGGAGCCGCCGTGCGAGCCCGGCCTGGCGGGCCCCGGCAAGACGCTGCGGGACCTCATCCACGACATGACCACCTCGGGCTCCGGCTCCGGTAGGTGCGGGCTCTGCGCCGCGGGCTCGGCCCGCGGGGCTTCGGGTGCTCCTCCTGTGCCAAAGCACAGAAATGCAGCTCCCTCTTGGAAGGGGGGCGCTACAAAGGGAATCAGAAATCAGAACCAGGGGTGAAACCAGCGCTGCCGGCCGATGCAGCGTGGCAGATAATGGAAGGTGCTGAGCTCACCTGAGCGGCTCAGGAAGCTGCTTCCGAACTGGTTTTTGTGTTTCAGAGCACAATAGTGTTCCTCCAAATTCTTGTTTGGAGCAGAACATTCATCTTTTTAGCATTTTCCCCATTTCGGTTATCTTGCCTACTGTGACGCCTCCATTGCTATTGAGAACTTGTTAAACCAAAGAAACCTAAAAATGAGGTGGGAATTCACAAATTCCTCATTTGACTAGTGACACGTCTGGGATGTACAGCCCAACCTTTCCTAACTAGAACTTTTATTGAAAACTATGCAAACTATGCTTGCTTTTATTTGTAAGTGAAAAACGTACAAATGGTGCCTAATTTAATTTACTTCCATGAGCTGCATACCTCTGAGGATTAAGTTGTTGTTCTTCCCTAATGCCTTTTCACGGCTCTACTGAGCAGACTTTGGCTTTATTTATGCTGAAGTTTTTAACTGTTCCCAGCCATCCCTGAGCCAGAAACAGGGCTGGACTTGAGCAGAGCCAGAGCCCCATGCACTGGCATGATTTGCTCTGATTTCAGACAAAATCAAGGTTGCAGTTATTAAAATAAGAAAGAAAGAAAGAAAGAAAGAAAGAAAGAAAGAAAGAAAGAAAGAAAGAAAGAGAAAGGAATAATTCCTTAAGTATCCAACAAAGACAGAATCCAATCAAACTAGGTGGGGTTTGTGGCTGGCAAAGCACAGTGGAACTGCTATAATAATAATAATAATAATTTCCTTCTATTAAATTATAATAATAACCCAGTTCGATAATAATTATTAATCGTTAATCGTTAATTGTTAATAGTTAATCATTATTATTAATTATTAAGTATTAATTATTATAACAGTTAATTTCTTTTAATTGTAATAATTTATATTTATTTTCAAAAATAGCAGCCAGAGTAAAGCAACTGACTGCAGGACAGCTGCAGACTGTATCAAACCAAACGGAGTAGTTCAGGCCAAATTTTTACTGTGGTTTTAAAAAGTTTTTTCTATGTACAGACACTGAGAAGTAACATCAAAGAGTCTGACTGGAGGAGATTGGGTGGGAGAGGATTTTCCCCTGGCAGTGTGGGGAAGCAAAGCCATGAGTGCAGCTGGCTGGGAGAGGGCGGTGCTGGGGTTTGAAGGCCAGCTGAGCCATTTCACAGGCACCTGCCTCTCTTCTTCTCCAGGTCTGCCTCTGCTGGTCCAGAGAACCATCGCCAGGACGATTGTGCTGCAGGAAATCGTGGGGAAAGGGCGGTTTGGCGAGGTCTGGCACGGGAAGTGGTGCGGGGAGGACGTGGCTGTGAAAATCTTCTCCTCCAGGGACGAGCGGTCGTGGTTCCGCGAGGCGGAGATTTACCAGACCGTCATGCTGAGGCACGAGAACATCCTGGGCTTCATCGCTGCTGACAATAAGGGTGAGCACTGCCCTGGCTGCCCTCCTGCATGGCTCCCCCAGCCACGCGGCCTCTGCTTCTGCGCGCTGGCGCGGGCGGGCTGGGCTGTGGCTGGGCTCAGAGGGCCTGGAGTGCTTCCCAAAGGATGGCAAAGGCACTCACTGGGTGCTGAGTGTGTGTCCCAGCACAGCTTTCACTGCCCTCCACCTGAAACATGACCCGGGCTCCCTCCCGGGACACAGCTGGCACACCTCCTTGCTTGCATCCCAAAAGGGGAAGGCTTTCCCTAGCTACCATTTCGGCCCGGGCTCCCTCCCGGGACACGGCTGGCACACCTTGTTTGCATCCCAAAAGGGGAAGGCTTTCCCTAGCTACCATTTTTGACACTCCTGCTTCCTCTGGCTAGATAACGGGACGTGGACTCAGCTGTGGCTTGTCTCCGAGTACCACGAGCAGGGCTCGCTGTTCGACTACCTGAACAGGGGCACGGTGACAGTGGAGGGCATGGTCAGGCTGGCCCTGTCCGTGGCCAGCGGCCTGGCCCACCTCCACATGGAGATCGTTGGCACGCAAGGCAAGAGCTTCCCTCGCGCTTTCCCTTCGAGTGTTCAGTGCTCTCAAAATCGTTTGTGGGTGACGTGTGTGGTGTTGTGAAGTGTGCTCCAAACGGCTGACACCAGGGGGAACAGTGTGAGTGAGAGTGGTGCAGGGCAGACAGGGAAGAGGGACATTCCCTTCCCTCTTCCACTGTCTGCACTTCATCCATGCCTCTAAAGAGAATTCTACAGGGGCAGCTCTGTTAAAAGGGAGTGAGCACTACTGAAGGGAAAATTAGGAAAATTTCTTCATGGGAAGATTTGTCCAGCCCTGGCACAAGTTGCCCTGGGCAGTGGGGAGTAAAAACATGTGTGGATGTGGCACCTGGGGACATTGGTTACTGGTGGCCTTGTCAGTGCTGAGGAGTGGTGGGACTCGGTGGTCTTGGAGGGTTTTTCCAACCCAATCACTGAATGCAGTGATTCAGTAATTTTCTAAATGAATTTGGATGGTGAACTTCCAGTTTCTCTTTTTGTGTTTTATTCCTGAAAAAAAAGCCCTTAAAGTTTAAAACGCCCTTAAAGTTTTCTTTTGAAGTTAAGAACATTTAGCAGAGCTTTGCTTCGTTCAAAATAGGCTTGGATATTTCTGTAAGGTGCAGAAACAAAAGTGAATAAAACTGTTTCTACATCCTTGCTCCTGATATTAAAGTCCAAGCTGTTGTTGTCAAAATTGGAGACGGTTTCTCTTGCTGTGAACAGGGAAGCCGGCGATCGCACACCGGGACCTGAAATCCAAGAACATCCTGGTGAAGAGGAACGAGACCTGCGCCATCGCCGACCTGGGGCTGGCGGTGAAGCACGACTCGGTGCTGAACACCATCGACATCCCCCAGAACCCGCGCGTGGGCACCAGGAGGTGGGCCAGCTCCCGGGGCGGCCCCTCGCAGCCCTGTCCCCCTCGGCCGTGTCCCCTCTGCCCTGGCAGCGGGCAGGGGTGGCTGCACACCCTGCTGTGGGATGGAGCTCTCTGTGGGGCATGGTGTCACCCTGGTCACCCCCGTGCTCTGGGCTGGGCACAGCTGCCAGCACCACCAGGGTCACGGGGCACGTGGCAGCACAGCTGTGGCTTTTGTAGGAGCTGCCCCAGCAAACTGAGCCTGTGTGCCCCAAAGGTACATGGCCCCCGAGATCCTGGACGATGCGATGAACACGAACATCTTCGAGTCCTTCAAGCGCGCAGACATCTACTCCCTGGGGCTGGTGTACTGGGAGATAGCCCGGAGGTGCCCCGTTGGAGGTGAGCTTTGGCCTCTTCACCCAGTCCCACATGGGTTTGGGATGGAAGGAACATTAAATCCCTTCTCATTCCACCCCTGCCATGGGCACCTACGCAGTAAATCTTCCCCAGGAATCACTGAGGAATACCAGTTGCCTTACTACGACCTTGTGCCTTCTGATCCTTCGATAGAAGATATGAGAAGGGTTGTCTGTGAACAGAAGCTCAGACCAAGTATTCCAAACCAGTGGCAAAGCTGTGAGGTAAAAGCAATTTTCTAGTTTATTCTAGGTTTATTTTGTAAGGGTTTTTTTTCCTAGTTTTATTTTGTTATTTATATTTTCAAGTTTAAATTAAGACAGAACTTTTCAGTGAGAGATAGGGCACTCAATGCCCAGCTTCTCCTGAATTGAGAAGCTTCAGATGTCTAGCTGTCCTTCAGATCAATACAGAAAGAACTCTCTGCACCAAGTGCTCGATGTCTTAATTGATGCTGCTGCTGTTGTGTCACCGTTTCAGAGCACTGCACTTTATCTCCCCGTATTAAAACCGGAAAGCAGAGGGTGGTGGTTGTGTCTCTGGCTGTTGTCTGTCCCCCTGCAGACCCTATCTGTACCCTGGTCCCATTTCTATCCCCCAGCCCCTGTCTGTACCCCGGTCCTGTTCCTATCCCCCACACCCTGTTTGTACCCAGTCCTGTTTCTGCTCCCACATGCCCTGCCTCTGTTCCCAGCCCCTGTGCCCAGTGCCGTTTCCATCCCCCAGCCCCTGTCTGTGCCCACTCCCCTCTCTGTGCCCAGCCCCTGTGTGTGCCCAGCCCGTGTGTGTGCCCAGCCCGTGTGTGCCCAGCCCGTGTGCCCAGCCTGTGTGTGCCCAGCCTGTGTGTGCCCAGCCCCTGTCTGTCCCCAGCCTGTCTGTCCCCAGGCTGTGTGCCCAGCCCGTGTGCCCAGCCCCTGTGTGCCCAGCCCCTGTGTGCCCAGCCTGTGTGCCCAGCCCGTGTGCCCGGGCTGTGTGCAGGCTCCGTGTCGTGCAGGCGCTGCGGGTTTTGGGCCGGCTGATGCGGGAGTGCTGGCGCGCCAGCGGCGCCGCGCGTCTCACGGCGCTGCGCGTCAAGAAGACGATCTCGCAGCTCTGCGTGCCCGAGGACTGCAAGGCCTGACAGCCCGCGGGGCGAGAGGCGTCCCGCTGTCCGTCCCTCCACCTGTGACAGTATTTTTGTTTCTGGTCTACCTCAGAGGACGCGGTGCCCGAGGCAGAGCACCGAGCTCCGGTCCGGCCCTGGGACCAGGCAGCTCGGCACTCCCAGCCCGGGCTCGGCACAGCAAGTCCGTGACTTGCTCTGGCTTTTTTCGGTAAATCAGACACCGGTGAATGGCAGGAAGGAGCTTAAAGCATCATGACAGTGTAAAAATACCTTTTGCTGTTGTGCTTTTCATCCTTGTCAGACCCCAAACGTCCTGGAAGTGTCTGGTGTTGGTTAAAGCCTGTTTGTGAGACAAACCTCATGCTCTGTCCTCAAACCGAGTAAAAGACCAAATTAACCCAGCTTTTTACCTTTTAAAAAAATTTTATTTCAGGGATCTGAAAAGGGGTTGTCAGTAAATGCATTTTGAATGACTATGTTTCTAATGAACCAAGCAACTAGAAAATACAGAAATTCCACTAAGTGTGCACTCTGTGAGCAAAACCGAGTCAGTTCCCTATTAACATTTATTTTTATTGTCTCAATTTCACATGCAATATCATGGTTAAAATTTGAGTTGTTTTACTCTGTCTTTGGTTCATTGAACAGATCAATGAAGGGACAACTTTTCCTTTTAACAATTATTAGGAAAAATAATAGAGGCAACAATTTTCTGTTGGATGTGAAGGGATGGAACAAGAAAAATTCTACCTAAACTGAGAAAATATTTATTTTTAGCAACGTTTTTCCAATCACTGGCAGCATTTTTTTAGTGCCTTTTGATGTATGAGGGGGAAGCTTTAACAAAAGCCAATGCAGCTTGTTTACAGGTTTCCTACAGAATTCTGTAAGAGCACCAGGCTGGTGGTGAATATTTACATTTCTGACCAGGTCTCCATAATGTCACAAGCCAGCAACGTGAGTTGTTGTGTTAAAATTCAACAGTGTTCTGGCATTTTGTGAATTTTGGCCCACTCTGTGGCCCTCATATTTGAATATTGTGTTGGAGTATTTTTAATAGGCAAAATTATAAATTTCGTAGTCTTATGGTTCTTTACACGTTTCTAAATCCAGCCGGCCCATGGGAATTAATCCCAAAGACGTTTCCAGAACAGCAAAGCTTTGCAGAAATGTGATGTGGCCCCGCAGCTCCATGGCAGGAGCGTTTGGGGCAAATCTCCTCCCTGGAGCTGTTGTGGGGAGGAGCGTGCTAAACGTTCACGGAATGCAGCGGTCAGCGGTGCCATCCACGCTGCGGGCTCGGCTGCTGTGCTCACCCCCAGCTCGCTGTGGGTGCCTGCTGGCTGCCCTGGGTGGGCTTTGGGCAGTTTGCTGCTTGCAGAGCTCATGCTGCAGGGCTCGGAGCGCTGCTGCCAGCGCTGCTGCAGGGCAGCTTCTCACACAGAGCCAGGGCTGGCCTGGGCCCCCACGGCAGCTGGACGGGGCTTGGAGCAGCCTGGTGTCCCCGGCCAAGGCAGGGAGGGGAAACGAGATGAGCTTTCAGGTCTCTGCCGACCCAAACCATTCTGGGGTTCCATGATTCAGTTCTTGTGTGCTTCAACGGCATGAACTCCCCGTGGAGCTCAGTGGTGTGGCTTTGTGGGCTGTTTGAGGGGTGGTCTTGGCAGCTGCATGATCCACAGCCTGGTGCTGACTTGACTGTCAAAAACGTTTGCACAGCTAAGATCCAGCACCTGTTCTTGTGGTATGTACAAGAACATACTTATCTTAAAAAGGAAGAATCAAAGCTTTATTTTTTTAAGTAGGAAAAGAGTTTCAGTGTTCAGTCCCCCCCTGGAGTCTCTGAAAGTTGTTGACCAGCCCGGTAATTTGAACAAGACTCTGTTGGTGCCTGGCTGGGAAGTGTGGGTGGAGGATGCTCAGGCACAGCTACTCCTCACACAGCTCACAGCTCCAGCCCCAGAAGTGCTTTAACCTTTTCCCTGAACATATCTCTTGGCATCAGACATTATGGTCTGTTTGCCCTGGCTTTTCACCCAACTCAGTATTTTTGCTCTGGTTTTCTTTTCTCTTTTGTTGTTGAGAGATGCATGTACAATTTGATGAATTGGAGTTGAGCATAACTGAGCCAAGGGGCTGATGTTGTTGTATTGAGCTCTGAAATGTTTGTAAACTCTACACTCCTTCAGAAAAGCTCCAAAGAACCCTTGTTTTAGTGGCCTTTCCCCTCCATGTGGGTTTGTCCTGTTCTAATTTAAGTACAGAGGTTATGGCAAGACACTTCTGTGCAGTTTAGGGAGGCTTAGGTTTCCTCAGAGGTCACAGAGCTCCTGATAATTTTCACTTAAAGCAAAAGTTCTTAAGCTCATGAAAATTTTCAAGGTCAAGGATGCTCAAAACCTGTTACCACATTCAGCTTCTCTTAATTGATGCTTCTAACTGGGGGAAATTACCAATATTTTATAATTTGCTTCTAATAACAGTCTAAAGTTTAATCTAGGGATTATGCACTGAAAGGGAAAGTTAATTAATGTTTTCTGTAACACCTAATTTTTTTTTGTGTTACTTGAACTGCTGCCCTCACACACTCCTTTAGAAATTGTCTGTAATCTCCTCTGCACTTCCCTACTTTTATAATTTGCACTTAATCAAGCTCATTCCCTCACGTGACACTATGAAGAGTCCTACAATATTTTAGTAATTGCTGTGTCACTTCTTTGCTTGGTACTAGATTCAGGAATGACAAATGAATGAGTTTGGAAGTATGCCCAGTCCCTGCTGGGGGTCTGGGCTTTGGCAGGGCAAGTTCCTCCCAGCCCCGCAGCTCCTGTGCCAGGGTGGGCTCCAGGCGGCCCCTGGCTCACGGGAGGGAGCAGTTTGGGCTTTGCCTGGGGCAGTGTCACAGGACAGGGCCGGGGTGGCACGGGGGGTCACGGTGGGCACACTCTGGTCACCTCCTGAGGGTGCAGGGGGGACAGGCACAGCTCCGTGTGCTGGTGAGGGTGCGGCTCAAAGCCCCTGCTGTGGGTCACTGGGGTCTGTGACACTTGGGGTGTCCCTGGGGTGTTCCTGGGGTGCCCCCAGCAGCACTGCAAACGTGTCCCCTCCCCTGCCTTGGCTGTCTCTGTGATTCCAGGGACCATCCCCACAGGCTGTGGGACCCCAGCCCCCCAAAGCCTTCGGGAAAGATGTCCACGCTCTGCTCGAAGGGGCAGAGCAATATTTATGAATGTGCAGGGAATAAGCATTGAGGTACAATATATTTCTACAGAATATAAGAAATGTGCAATAAATTGTAACTTACACTGAATGTATTTTTGGCATAAATGGACCAGATGTGTTTTGAATGTAGCTACGACATTGTGTCTAAGCCTGCTGTGATTCTCAGTCCCTAAGATAAACGTGTCATGTTTTGTCAATCTACAAACCACTTCCTCAGTTGTCTGTTTTTAAAAGACGTGTGAGTATTTTATCTGGAACGCTGTAATATTTCTGGACTAAGTATAGCAGTGCAGTGCTAACTTCAACCCTCCTGTTGTGAAATATCTGATCTGTGTACACTGCAGAGTTATTTTTAAAACTATTGCTAAAGTTATTGCTTGATACTGCAGCTGCCTGGATGTAAATAATGGTTTAGCTGTTGTATTTTGTATGCGGATTTGGGGAAGACGTGGCAATTTTAATAAATTCAGCATACCTTGTGTTGCTGTGGCCTGGAGCTGTTCTTATGTTCATCGTGTGAGGGGAGAAGGGTTGAGCCTGTGTGAACCTGTGGATCCCTTCCCTCGTGGCTCTTGCACCCCAGCAGTGTGAGCTCCCCCCGAGATCCCTTCATACAGCACTCCCTGATCCTGCTCTTCCAGCCAGTGAGATTTTCAGTGGTGCAAACCTGAGCGGCACCAGCTCACCCTGAGCACTCACTTCTGGAGTGTGCATGCTTGAAAATTCCCCTGACACAGCCATAATCCGGGAATTTAAGTCAGACTTCATTTTAACTTGAGGCACGTCAAAATGAAATCTGCCATGCTGTGACCCAAGAGACTTCAGTGGCGTTTGAGGGATACGGTGAGGGGCTTTGTATTGCAGCAGTTACTGGCGGAGTCTCAGGTCCCTGCCCATCCCAGGGAGGTGTCCCTGTCCCGGCGCTGCCGTGGCCGGGCAGCCGGGGACGGACGGACCAGCAGCAGCAGCGGCGGCTCATCGCTGAGCCCCGCCTGCCATCCCCGGCTGCGGCCCCGGAGGGTGGCCACGGCCCCGGAGAGCTGCTCTGGCAGCAGCCGGAGGCAGTGCTGCTCCCGGAGGCATCCTTTTCCAGCGCTCTTGGGCGGCGGTGGGCGCTGTTCTGCCCGGGCGCTGTGCCCCGCTGCGCGTCCCGGCCCTGCCAGGCTGCCACGGCTCGGTGGAGGGCTGGCTGGGGAAGAGGAAGGGCTAATTGCCCACGTGCTTATTGTTTAGTAAATCACCCCCCCAGCATCCCCTGGTGCACGCCTGGCAGCTGAGGAGGGGAGCCAGCTCCTGGGCCCGAGGGCTCGTGTCCCACAGAGGATGCCGCCTTCCTTCTGTCCGGGGACAGCCACCCTGCAGGCGCTGCAGCCTCGCAGGAGGAGTGTGCCATCCCTGGCAGCGCTCAGGGCCAGCCTGGACCGGGCGTGGCCCTGGAGGAAGGCGAACCATCGCTCCAGCCCCGACCCCGGACCAGCGCCGTGCCAGGGGGGAGGCTGGGGCAGGGCATCCGTGTGAGCTCCCGGGCACGGGGGAGCCCTGCCGGGCCCGCTCTGCCCCTGGCCCGGCTCCGAGCACTCTGAGCCCTGCCGGGGAGCAGGCGGGCTGGAGGGATGGGTGCCGGGGGTGTGGGGGTGTCTGCTGCGGTGCGGGGTGCGAGTCGGAGGTGTGGAGTGCCTGCCGGGGTTCAGGGGCTCCTGCCGGGGGTCAGGGGCTCCTGTCGGGGCTGAGGGGCTCCTGCCGGGGCCGAGGGGCTCCTGCCGGTGTTCATGGGCTCCTGCCGGGGCTGAGGGCCCGACCCCGAACCAGCGCCGTGCCAGGGGGGAGGCTGGGGCAGGGCATCCGTGTGAGCTCCCGGGCACGGGGGAGCCCTGCCGGGCCCGCTCTGCCCCTGGCCCGGCTCCGAGCAGCTCTGAGCCCTGCCGGGGAGCAGGCGGGCCGGAGGGATGGGCCAGGGGGAGTGGGGGTGTCTGTTGCGGTGCGGGGTGCGAGTCGGGGGTCAGGGGCTCCTGCCGGGGCTGAGGGATGCATGTCGGGGTTCAGGGGCTCCTGCCGGGGCTGAGGGGCTCCTGCCGGGGTTCAGGGGCTCCTGCCACATCGCTCACTCTGCCCAGCATGGCACAGCGCTCGCCCTGAGCCCCATCACGTCGCTCGCCTGCCCGGCCATGGCCCTGCGGCGGCTGCTGCAGCCCAGCCTCAGCTCCGGCCCCGCGGACGGCAGGAGGATGCAGCACTTGGCCAGCACGGTGGGGACGCTGCCCCGCGGGCGCAGGCAGGTACGGGCTGAGCTCCCCAGCTCCTGGGCTGGGCTGCGGGGGTGACCGCCGGGCTGGTTTTGGGGGTGTGGTGGAACTTTGGCGGCGCTGGCGGTGTGGAAGCTCTGCGAGGAGCGAGGGATGCTCGGGCTGTGAAGGGCAGAGGCAGCTGAGACCGGCCCCGGCTGAACTCTGCGTTTCCAGGCGTGCTGGGAGCCAGGGAGGGTTTGTGCTGTCTGGGCGCTCCTTCCAGTGTGCATTTACCTCGGCCAGGCAGCCTGGCTGCCCTCCCTGCACGGCTGACAGCAGTGGCACCGCGGGTCATTCCCGTGTGGATTTGGGAGTGTTTGTGTACAGCTGCTGGGCTGGCCCAGCCGCTGGGCTGCACAGGGCAGCACAGATCCCACAGAACCGGGCTGTGCAGGGCAGCACAGGGCAGCACAGATCCCACAGAACGGGGCTGTGCAGGGCAGCATAGGGCAGCACAGATCCCACAGAACCGGGCTGTGCAGGGCAGCACAGACCCCACAGAACGGGGCTGCAAAGGGCAGCACAGACCCCACATAACCGGGCTGTGCAGGGCTGCACAGACCCCACAGAACCGGGCTGCAAAGGGCAGCACAGACCCCACAGAACCGGGCTGTGCAGGGCATCACAGACCCCACAGAACTGGGCTGTGCAGGGCAGCACAGATCCCACAGAACCGGGCTGTGCAGGGCAGCACAGACCCCACAGAACCGGGCTGTGCAGGGCAGCATAGGGCAGCACAGACCCCACAGAACCGGGCTGTGCAGGGCATCACAGACCCCACAGAACTGGGCTGTGCAGGGCAGCACAGACCCCACAGACTGTGCTGCTGTTGCCGTCCATCGTCGGCCGAGCAGTTCAGCTCTGGGATATTCGTCTGACATGAACAATCCCGAACAGAAAGTGTCTGTGGGATGCGATAATTTGAACATATACCCAGAAAAGCCGCTGCGCTGTCTGTGCCCTGCGGGCTGTGCTGTGCTGGGCTGCAGAGGGCACTCACTGAACCTTGTGCTTCGGGACTGGGACTGGGACTGGGACTGGGGCTCAGACCGGGACCAGGACTGGAACTGTCACTGGGACGAGCACTGGGACTGGCAGAGCTGGGCCACATCGGGGCCAAGGCCACACTGCAGGCACCGTCCCCAGGCAGGGGTCCCTGGCCCAGGCCCTGCTCCCAGCCCTCCCATGCCCTCCCAGGGGGTCACACATGGCCTCTCTGTCCTCCCCTGTCCCTCGGCAAGGAAATGCAGGGCCATGAAGTGGCTGTTCCTGCAGCAGGTCACACCGTGGCACCATTTTATCCTGCTGAGGAGACATCAGCTCTGCTGACTGCAAACATCTCACTGAGAGTGGAACTCCTCATTCACGGCTCCCTTTTGGGGGAAGAACCCGCATTTGGTGCTGACCTGGCCCTTGGCAGAGAGCCCCCCAGGTGTGCCTGGCCTGAAGCAGGGCCTGGCTGGGAGATGCTGTGCAGGCACTGCAGGGCTCAGGGTGTGCACTCCCCTGCCGGGGGGCTCTGTGCCTCTCCTGGCAGGGTTCAGTTTATAAACCACACAATTCTGGAGGAAAGGGACTACAGTGAGATGAGCTCTTGGCACAACAGAGATGTGATTTGTGCTCTGAGCTTGCCACCAGCATCTGACAGCAGGATTTGACCTCCAGATGCTTTTCCTCCTGTTCAGAAAGCTCAAGCTCTCTTTTGACCAAGGCAGAGGTGTTGGTGCGATGCCAGCAGCTGTTTTTAGTTCTTCTCTATACTGCTGGTTTTATCTGTGTGCCTCAAAGAACCACAAGCCTACTGATGCCTTTCCTCTCCTGTTTCTGGTCACAGCTCGCCTTGGCCAGATCCAGCTCCTGGGACGACTCCTCCAAGCCACAGAGGTATGATTCCATAATTCTGTGATTCCAGAGTCCAGAGTCTCTGTTCTGGCTAATTCTGCACAAAAAGTGTGTCCTGGGAACTGTGGCAGCCCAAGAAGGATGGGGTGCGAGGCAGAGAGTGGCACCCAGCACCTGCAGGCACAGTTGTGAGCTTTGGCTTAGGCATGGCAACAGGCAGCACCGTGGGAGGGACGGCGTGGTGACACCCCACGGCGTGGGGACACCCCATGGCACAGGGAGGACAGCGTGGTGACACCCCACGGCGTGGTGACACCCTGCAGGCACAGGGGGTACGGCGTGGTGACACCCCACGGCGTGGGGACATCTGTTCTGGCTAATTCCGCACGAAAAGTGTGTCCCGGGAACTGTGGCAGCCCAAGAGGGATGGGGTGTGAGGCAGAGAGTGGCACCCAGCACCTGCAGGCGCAGTTGTGAGCTTTGGCTTGGGCATGGGAACAGGCAGCACCGTGGGAGGGGCACCCCATGGCGTGGGGACACCCTGCAGGCACAGGGGGGACGGCGTGGTGACACCCCACGGCGTGGTGACACCCCATGGCACACACAGGGACAGTGTGGTGACACCCTGCAGGCACAGGGGGGACGGTGTGGTGACACCCCCCAGCGTGGGGACACCCTGCAGGCACAGGGGGGACGGCGTGGTGGGCGCAGTTGTGAGCTTTGGCTTGGGCATGGGAACAGGCAGCACCGTGGGAGGGATGGCGTGGTGACACCCCATGGCATGGTGGCACCCCATGGCACACACAGGGACAGTGTGGTGGCACAGGGAGGCCCACGGGGGACACCCCTGTTCTGGGTGGGAATGCAGGCCCTCAAGCAGCAGCAGCCCACGCTCACGTGGAACTGTGTGTGCTCCTCCTGCAGGCACCTCGTGGCGATCCTGAAAGAAGATAAAGAGACCTTTGGGTTTGAAATCCAGGTGAGAGCTAAATGACAAGCTGTTTCATCAAAAACAAAGTGTGGTGCAGAGTCTGAAGTGTCATATCCCCAAATCCAGGGAAGGCAGGCCAGAGCAGAGGAAAGTGTGTGTCAGAGCCTGCAACATCTGAAGAGCTTACATCACTCATACAAAACAGGGATGTTTCTCTGAGGACTTTTTCATAGTAAAGGTCACAGATGAGCATTTCTGGCCTTCTCTCAAGTCAGAGTGTTGAATGTAGGAGAAATCCCACCCAAATCCAAATAAGAGGCAATGATAGTGCCTTCTTACCTCCATAAGTGAATATTTTTGGGAGGATTGTATAGGAGAATATTTTCAAATGAGAGAGATCAGAAAACTCTCTTAAAAATTACCTTATGCTGGCTTTTTGCTACCTCCTTTAATATGCACAGAGAGATATGTACTTTTCAAGAAGATGTACAATATTTTTCCATAAATACCTGCTAAGCATGACTTTTGGGGCAGGAGTTAATCGCATAGGAGGAGATTCTGTTTGGGGTAGAAGTCACTAAGTCATCAGGCAGGAGAACCAGGATGTTACCAGGAGTACTGCTGGGGGAGATTCTGTGTTTGTGGGTTTTTGTGAGAAGGGTAACTCCTAACCAGCAGCTCTGCTAAAATCCGGGGTAAAGCTAAAAACTGATCCCAGCAATAAAGGGATGTCATTTGGGAGCAGAGGGATCTGCCTGCCAGCAGCAGGGCACTTTCAAAGTGCTTTCCTCTGTCTGCACACAAAGGGGAAAAGTGTTTTCTGTGAAATTAGTGTATTAGGAAAAGCTTAACTTTGCCCAATTTGGGTCTGTGACTAATGAGCGGGTCAGCACTCAGCTCGTGAACAGAGGAGAGCTTTCAGAAGGGAGGATAATTGAGTCAATTATTGGGCTTTTGTGTAAATTGTCAGGGCAGATTTTCATTAGATGTGGCATTCTGATTAAAAATAATTGTTCTTGGCACGTTTTCTTCCTGAGCACACATTCAGCGTGAGCACCTCACAGGAAGTTGGGGCTGCAGAAAGGCAGCCTCTGTCAGCTGCTGAGGGTGTTTGGAAGCTGCAGTTCCACCACTGTGAGAGGCATTCAGGCAAAGCAGAGTAAGATGATGTGAAACTTTAGGCCCAGATCTGCAGGGAGCTCATGCTTCACTCGTCACTCTCAGTTCAGGCACGAATTTTCCTGCTAAAAAGGCTGGAATCACCGCACGGGGGGATTTGGCCAGGTGAGCCCTGAACTGCCCCAGCCTCCATCCCTTTGTTCCACTGGCTGAGACATCTGGGACTCCAGCGTGAGCTCTCTCTGGGTCAGAAGTGGCAGTGGCAGGTTTCCAGGAAGCAGATGTGGTATTTGCATGTCACCAGAAAAGGTTTCCTGCTGCCGTGGGAGCCGGGCAGGCTGCGGCACCGGAGTTTGCATTTTTTAAACTCATGTCAGCACCCATAACCACACGAGGGATTTAGGGTAACTAGAGTTACTAAATGTTCAGTTAAATGTGTAAGTCAAGAAAAAAAAGCACTTCGAGGAGGGTGGGGATGTGTGTGGGTGACAAGTTCCAGAGGCCAGAAGAGAAAAAGTAAGTTTAAATCTTCTGTCTTTTCAGTTCCTGCACAAACTGAGCTGTCTGGTAGCAGCAGCTGACTCCACACAGCATTCCCAATTAATAGGAGCCAATCCCTTGAAAGTCCCAGTCCCATCCTGTCATGTTCCCCTGGGAACATGAGACATCTTTCCAGAAAGCCATTCCCACCCATGCTGACATATTCTTGGTTGAAGTCACAGAGTTTTTAATGCTGAATGACCAGATTGCTTTAAAACTAGGGGGTTTTTGTTGTTATCGTTATTGTTTTGTTGTTTTTTGGTTTTTTGTTTTTTTTTTTTTTCACAAACCCAATGTAGAGGCACCTGTCAGATGTCTACTGTTTTCTGCTGTGCAAATGCATTTTTAATTGTTGGGTTATAGCATTTTGATCTCACTTTCATGTAATGTACTCTGCCCATCACAGCCTTCCCACTGAAAAAGAGTGCTGAATTTTAAATGGCTTTCACGGCTGCAGGATTGGTAACCCTGTCCCTTTGGCATCAACAGACTATTAGGTTCTCGCACCAGAACGATTTCTCCCTGGAGGTGTGCACGTGTGTCTGCAGAATCCAGGAGGAGAGCCCTGCCCACCTCTCCGGCCTTCAGACTGGTAACTGTCCGTGGGTTTCCTGCCCTGGGAGCCGACCCTCCCTCCTGGCTGCTGTTCCTGAGCAGGCCAGGGTGTGCCCGGGCTGCTGATGCCCACTCTGTGTCCCTGGCAGGGGACATCCTCACCAGCATCAACGGCGTGAGCACCGAGGGCTTTGCTCACAAGCAAATCGTGGACTTGATCAAGTCCTCAGGGAACTATTTGAGGTGGGAGTCTCCCTTTGGATGGGGTTTGGCCTGATTTCCTCTCCCCCTGAAGGCAGTGCTGCCCCACAGCCCTGCACAGCCTAGGGGCAGAAATCCCAAGGGCTGGGCAGGGCAGGGCCTCTGTGCTCAGGGCAGCACCACCCTCCCCACAGGTTAGAGACCATCAACGGGGCCTTGCTCCTGAGGAAAATGGAGCTGGAGACCAAGCTGCAGGCTCTCAAGGTAATAGGATTAACTGCTTGTTCCCCTGTCAGCTGGAGAGGGCTGCTGTGGCTCTCTGCTGATGGGGCAGCTGTGTGCCATGGGACAGGGGTCCTGGCAAGGGCTGACACCCTGCTGCAGCACCTGGTGCCCCTGGGGTGGTTATTATAAACCAGGGACAGAGAAGAAATGTGGTGACAATCCCAGGACTGGCCGGGTGAGCCTGGGCTGCTCAGTTTGGGTGTGGGAGGCAGAGTTCACTGCCCTGGTGGGGAGGTGCCCCCTCTGCCTGTCCCCAGGCACACCTCGCCCGTTTGGCATTTTTGGTCAGCTCTGCAGGGTTCATTTCCCCCCAGAGCTGGCTGCAGCAGAGGGAAGGACCCGTTGCTGGGTGTTGGGTGGCTGGGGGCTCTCAGGGGTTCCAGGTGTGCTCCCAGGGCCGGCAGGGGTGGCAGGCTGTGCCAGTCCCACGCCGTGAGCCGGGGAGGAGCACTGGGGTGCCTGCTCCTGGGGGGTGCTCCAGAGCTGGCAGGGCTGCAGAGGAGCGCTGGCACTGCCACAGCTGGGGGAAGGTGGGGTCCATGCCCCCCAGGCCGGCTCCGGGCTGCTCCTTTCCCAGTCGGAGCTGGCAGTGCTTTGGCCGGAGCACCGCGGCCCTGAGCCGACTCGTGTTTCCTGGGAGAGATTTGCTGAGCTCCGGGACGCCCGAGCTGCACCTTTACAGGCTGTTTGGCTTCCCTGGAGTGACAGAGGTGTTCCTTGTCCCCACAGCAGGCGCTGCACCAGCGGTGGGGGGAGCTGCGGGCGCTGCTGGCCCGGGAGCGGCTCCTGCTGCACGGTACGTGCGGGGCCCAGCACTGCTGCCATCCCACCGCCACCGGCTTCGCCTCCCTCCCGAGGGGGCGCGGGGCTGGCCGGGGAACGCTTTTGTGCCGAGGGCCATGACCCTGGCTGCTGCTTGGCAGGGGCACCCCAAGGGCTCTGCATCGCTCCTGGGCCGGGGGTTTATGTGGTGGTGAAAGGTTCTCCATTCTTTGGTTTTACCGGGGAGGAGCCGGGCTGGGTTCGGTGTGCACTGCCCAGGGAGCTCAAGCCGGAGCAGCAGCCCAGGCGGGAAGGGCTGCTGGCTGTGCCAGGGGCTGGCACGGCGCTGCCGGGGCACAGCGGGCTGCTCCCGGCCAGGAGCGGGGCTGGCTCGGGCTGCTCCCGGCCAGGAGCGGGGCTGGCTGACGCTCCTGCCCGCTGCTTCCAGGGGAGGTGGCCGACGGCGCAGTGCCGGGCTGGCTGGAGGCGGCAGAGCCCGGCTCGCCCGGACCCTTCCTGCCCGCCGAGCCGCGCCTGGCCAGCGACAGCAGCTCCCGCAGCCGCCTCAGCTCCATGACGCTGGGCAGCGAGGACAGCTTCTGCCCGGGCAGCGCCTTCGAGGACGCGGCTGCGGAGAGCCGCAGCCGGCGGGGCAGCACGGACGATGAGTGCGTGTTCGCCAGGCCCGCTGCGGCCCGCGGCTCCCTGCGCAGGAACCGCAGCGTCAGCCTGGCCAGCAGCGGCCCCGCGTCCCCGCCCGGCGACGGCGGCGGCTCCTGCGGCGGCTTCGGCACCCTGCCCCGGAGCGGCCGCCGCGCCAGCGTCCGCAGGCACCTGCTCAGGCTCGTGCCGGGCTTCCACCGGGCCCTGCAGGAGGAGGAGAGCCGCGTGTGATGTCGCCGTGCCACCCCACGGCCGAGGCTGCGGCACGCCGCGCTGGCACCGGGGCACCGCCCGGACAACAGCGCTGATGGGAGTCACACGGCTCTGGCGTCTCAGCTGTTTGCATTTTTAATCCGAGCACGCTGCGGACCTCTTCATCAACGTGAAAAATGAGTGACTCCAGAATGTGAAGAACCTTTGCAGAACTTCCTCGGCGAACTTTACTGTTAATAACAGTTTTTAATTGAATGCGAAATTGATAGCTATTTATTTCCTGTTACCGGAGTCGGTGCCTTCCAAAGGACTTTAATAAAATGAATGCTTCTACTAAACCCAGTTGCGGAGTCCCGTTGGGAGGAGGATGGAGCCTGGAGCGTGTGGCAGAGGGAGCCTGGGCAGGGTGTTCTGGAATGAAGCTGTCCTGCCAGGTCTGCAGCCATTGTACAAACGGTGTGATGACCCAGTGCCGGTTTGGTCTGAGCAGCTGCAGCCTCTGCCAGGTGCTGATATCCCCTGTCTTGCCAAGTGTCCCATTCCAGGGGACGTGGAGTGGCAAGGACCCTCCTGAGCACACAGGTGTCCCCAGGCTCCTCTGCAGAGCCTGAGGGGTGTCTGTGACACTGCCCGGAGCAGCTCTGTGTGTCCTGCAGGGCTGACCTCCCTAGGCAAGAGAGAAGAAAGGCAGAGGGCTGTCCTGCAGGGATGAGCAGCACTGCTCTGCTCTGCTCTGCTCTGCTCTGGCAGGGGGGTGACACCCAGGGACGTCCCTGCAGCACCTGCTGGGACCCTGCCCAGCAGTGCCTGGGGCTGAGGAGCTGCCCGTGGTCCCATGCTCTCAGCACTCCACACCTGCTCACATTTATTTCCCCAGAAGCTTCAGGCAGTAAGGATCACTGAGAGCACGTGTGAAGTGGGTTTAATAACCACGGGCACAGATGTGAAGAAAAAGAGAGTTTTTGCCCTCCTTCTCAGTACATAGGAAAGGCTGTTTGTTCAGCCTGAGCAGCCTAATGATGTTTTTCAAATACAACTGGAAGCATTTTAAATATAATTCAAGGCCCCTGTGTGCCTCACTGCCTGTTGCCCGGGCAGCCTGTGCAGTTGTACCCTCAGGTACTGCTGTGCTGGGGTTTTCTGGGCTTCTCAGAGACCACAGGCTAAATCCAACAGCTTCCCTGCCAGAGGAGCTCCACACAAAAACAGCCTGCTCCCAAAACTTCTCCGATTCATGAACACAGCTGAGACAGAAGAGTCACTACTGGCCTCCGTCATTTCTGTGGGAAGGATTAAGTAGCTGGAAATATGGCACAGCTCTGGGAAAGATGAAGGGCACTCAGGGAGCTGGGGACAGTCAGAGGGTCTGGGGACAGCCAGGAGAGCTGGGGACAGTCAGGGGGCTGGGGGACAATCAGGGGAGGAGCTGTCATGGTGTGCACATGGGTGATGTCCTGTCTGTGCTGCTGCACCCATGATTTGCTGTCTCAAAATAGAAGAGTTCTACTTTTCATTGCCAGTAGCATCCTCTGAAAGGAGAAAATAAAAATAATTAGAGATTGGTTCTATTTGGCCAAAATGTTGAGTTAAAGCAGATGTAGGCGTGTCCAAAAGCAACCAGGGGCAGAAAAACCAGAATATCTGGTGAGAGTCATTGTAGGGCCCAAAGGGAACGGACAGCCCCAGCACTGAGAAAGGGACCCTAAAGTACTGCAGCCTCACAGTCCAAAGGGGGATTCCTTTAGGCATGAAAGGTTAACTTGCCACAGGTGGGGATCCAGGCGCTTGCCGTGAGTGCGGAAAGGCTGGAGGAGCCTGACACCCCAGAAGCTCGGCCTGAGGCAGTGCTGCCCTCCCAGCAGGGTGGGAGCACGCTCTGGGTGTGCAGGATGGCAGCGTGACACGTTCTGAGCCACGGCCACAAACAGGATGTGGGGACAAGCACCGAGCCCTGCTGTGCCCCAGCCTGCGGGGGAGGAGGGAGCTCACAGGCCAGACAAAGTGCTCAGGAAGGAAAGCAACTGCAACAGCTTTTAACAAAGGCATTTCTCCTTGCACAGAGCACTTTGGGTGGATCCTGCTCTGCCTCCTGGGTGAGGGGCAGGAGGAGGGTGGCTGTACAGGCAGCATGGGACCCACTCTGTGTTCTCACTGATCTCAGGGGTGTTGGAGGGATCGGAGAGTTCCCAGCAGCCAGTGGAACCTTTTCTCTGCTTATCCCCCAGGGGCTGAGGGGACAACACAAGTTAACTGCAGGGGAGAGTGCAGCTGGTCCTCGATGAATGCAATTGGATTTTAAACTGAGCATTTCCATTAATGTGATGAATGCTGCAGAGTCCACCTTCTCAGGGGACTTAACTGCTCGGCTGAGTGCTGTCCACTGCCCAGACCCTCCCACCAGGTCCTGACTCCTGGTTCCACCCTGCCCCGCACTCAGGGATGGTGCTGCTGCCTCCTGAATTCCACCCTGCCCTGCAGTCAGGGATGGTGCTGCTGCCTCTGGTTCCACCCTGCCCCGCACTCAGGGATGGTGCTGCTGCCTCTGGAGTTCCCTCCTGCCCCACAGTCAGGGATGGTGCTGCTGCCTCCTGAATTCCACCCTGCCCTGCAGTCAGGGATGGTGCTGCTGCCTCTGGTTCCACCCCTGCCATGGCAGGGACACCTTCCGCTACCTCAGGGTGCTCCACCCTGCCCCGCACTCAGGGATGGTGCTGCTGCCTCTGGTTCCCTCCTGCCCCGCACTCAGGGATGGTGCTGTCGCCCTCCTGCTGCCCTGCAGGGCTGCTTGCTGCAGCCCCACCCTGCACTTCCTCTCCCCGCGGCTGCGGGGCCCTGCTCCCCTGCGCAGCAGCGGGTCACAGCCAGCTCCCAGGCTCAGAGCAGAAGGTGGCACAGTGGTTATCGCGGGCAGCTGAGCCCGGCCTGCCAGCGCCTCGAGGCAAAGGGACTCACATTTATCCACACACAGAGCCTGGAGTGAGCCCCGGCGCTCCTGGCATGGACCAGCTGCTGTTGGTGCTGTCACATCCAGCTGTGGCTGTGCCACACCAGATTGGAATTTTTTTTTTTTAATTTTTAAAAGCTTGAAGAGGCAAAAATCCACGCCGTGGGGTTTGTGCAGAAGGAATTGTTCCCTGCCCTTGAGAGGTGGTTTTGCCCAGCTGTTTGCAAGCAGCTGCCTGTGGTGGGAAGAACACGCAGCTGCCTTTTCCTTCTGCAATCCTGCAGCCCAAACGGTTCTGTGATTCTGTGATAATGAGAAGGAACCTTCTCCTCTCCGGTCACCAGACCTTGCTGGGTGCTCAGCCTCTCCTCCTGAGGGCACCAACCTCTGCTCATTGTCAGCTCACGTTCAAACATTATTGTTCACTCTTCTTGGACAACATTTTCCAGCAAAGGATGGATTTTATAAACCAATCACACCAAATTAATTTTAAAACAATAATGAAAACTTGTTGATTTAAAGACACAAACTCAAAGGATGAATAGAAGCAGTGGAAAGTGTTTGGGTTCATTTCTAATCAGGGGCTGAACTCAACAAGAGGATTTCCAAACCCTAAAGCCCAAAGATACCAGAAATGCTGTATTGTACAAACACAGAACGTCATTCACAGCAGGAGATTACACTGTTATGTAAACCTGGCTTTGGGCACCAGGGTTGAGACGAGTTCAGCTGCGGTCAGAAATGCCCCAGTGCTGCTCGGGTGATTCTCCAGCTTCCCTCCCTCTCAATCCTGCCAGCCTTCGGTGTGACTGAGAGTCACCGAGAGAATCATGGAATGTCTTGGGATGGGAGGGACCTTAAAGCTCTCCCTGTTCCACCCCCTGCCATGGCAGGGACACCTTCCGCTACCTCAGGGTGCTCCAAGCCCTGTCCAACCTAATCTGGGACACTTCCAGGGACAGCCATGGCCCCTCTGAGCAGTGCTGGCTGTCCAGGGAATGTGGCTGGGCACAGGTGGACAGCGTGACACTGCGCTGTATGCAGGGCCTGTGCCTGTCCCACTGCTGGGGCTGCTCCCCAGAGGGCAAAGCGCTCCCACTGTGCCCCAGGGCACAGCGAGGTTCATCCACAGCGAGCTCCATCCCTGGTGAGCTCCATCCACAGCAAGGTTCATCCAGGATGAGCTCCATCCCTGGTGAGCTCCATCCTTGGCGAGCTCCATCCCTGGTGAGCGCAATCCACGGCGAGCTCCATCCACAGGGAGCTCCATCCACAGGGTGCTTCATCCACAGTGAGCTTCATCCACAGTGAGATCCATTCATGGCAAGCTCCATCCACAGCAAGGTTCATCCATGATGAGCTCCATCCCTGGTGAGATCCATCCCTGGTGAGATCCATCCCCGGTGAGATCCATCCACGGTGAGCTCCATCTACAGTGAGCTCCATCCATGGCAAGCTCTATCCACACGGTGAGATCCATCCCCGGTGAGCTCCATCCATGGCAAGCTCTATCCACAGGGAGCTCTGTCCACAGCGAGCTCTATTCCTGATGAGCTCCATCCATGGTGATCTCCATCCCTGGTGATCTCCATCCCTGGCGATCTCCCTCCCTGGCAATTTCCATCCATGGTGATGTCCATCCCTGGTGATCTCCACCCCTGGTGATTTCCCTCCCTGGCGATCTCCATCCCTGGCAATCTCCATCCCTGGCGATCTCCATCCCTGGCAATCTCCATCCCTGGCGATCTCCATCCCTGGCGATCTCCATCCCTGGCGATCTCCACCCCTGGCGATTTCCATCCCTGGTGAGTCCACCCCTGGCAATCTCCACCCCTGGCGATCTCCACCCGTGGCGATCTCCATCCCTGGCGATCTCCATCCCTGGTGAGTCCATCCCTGGCGGTTTCCATCCCTGGTGAGTCCATCCCTGGCGCGGTTCCCGGCACAAACCCGCTGGGGAATGTTAAGCGGGTCAGGTGGCGGCGCTGGGGAAGGTGGTCACCCTGCAGGGATTAGGGGTCAGAACAATGGCTGTGCCTGTGGCCAGCGGGGACACAAAGAGCCATTGTGCCCAGCGCACAAACTCCTGTTTATTCCCGCGGCGCTGACATGCCCGCAGCCCCGCTCTCCGCGCCAGCACAAAAGCTTCCTTGCTTTGGATTGTTTGTTTATGTAAATTATAATGGTGCGTTTAATTATGCAACGGGCAGAGCCTCGGCGGCCAGGGAGGTGCTGACTGGGCTGGCAGGCCCCGGGCACAGCGGATGGTGCTGCCGCGGGCTGGGCACCGGAGACGCGCCAGGGCCACTCGCGCAGGGCAGCGGAGCCCGGGGCCAAGGGGCCAGGAGCAGGAGCGGGGCCCGGCACGGCCCGGCCCGGCACGGCCCTCAGCATGACAGAAGAGGTGCCCGCAGCTGCCACCATGCCGGCGTGCAACGGGAGCCTTCCCCCGGAGGATGGCCCACTCCAGGTCATCGGCGGCCTCGAAGAAATTGCAAAATCTCTTGGGACAGTCCCGTACGCGAACGCGGAAATGAGCCCCGACACTTCACCTGCAAAGGAGAATCTGGAGGAAAACAGAAATTCATTGCCAGAGGACATCACTCCTGAGAATTTTGCTGGAGAGAAGCGATGCCAAGGTATCATACGGGGCTGCCTGTTGGGAGAGAAAAGTTCTGCTTTATCTATAGCCTGATGAATAACGGGATGTGCTGTGTGTCAGTCAAAATTCCTAACCTGTGGTAGCTGTAACAGTATTTCAGAATCTGGGACACATTTGAGGGATGCAGTGAAAAGATCATAACTAAAGAAATGAGCAATTCTAAATCTGCTCTGAAAGATCTGCAGCCATTAAAACCTGATTGTCCCCACTAATTGCTCCATCAGCCCGTGTCTTGTGCTTTGTGTTTCCCAAAGAAAAGCGAGAGGAGAACGCTGGGACACCGCAGCAGGGACCAGCGGATATCCAGGACGCAGGGACCAATGGCCAGGGATCAGGGGAAGGTAATGCAAAATGCCATCTGATGTGGGGTTTCACAGATGTGCAGCAAAGAGAAAATGGATGCAGGTGGTTGTTATTTTTTTAATTGGGTCAGACCCTTCTATTCCAGAGAGCAGTGACTCATTTCTCACCTCTGAGTTGCTGCACCTTAGAAACCACAGCTGCTCTCCTCCTGCCAGAGTTTCACAGATCTCACTGGCCATGGGGCATCCAAGCACTGTGGGGTCTTCAGGCAGGAGGTCCCCAACAGCCTCTCGGGGTTGGGAGATTCTGTCCTCTGCTCCGTGCTCACAGGAGAACCTCGTGAGGCTGCTGGTGGTCACAAACCCCAAACCTTTTCCTGCCTGATTCACCAAGTGTTGAATCCCCCAGTGCCCAGCTATCCACATAAAATTGCTCTCCTAAACAGCTGTTCCTGGGTCTTGCTCTGCTCATTTCTGGGTGAAAATGGTGGAAATGAGCAGGAGCCAGGGCTGGAGCCGCAGGCACCTCCTGTGGTGAGCGGGGCTGCAGGGGGGTCACTGCCCCGGTCACGAGCTAAAAATGTACTGAGTGTATACAGAAATGAACATATTTATTTCACTATGCAAACTGCAGCCACGTCTCCAACAGGAGTATTTTATGGCCCGTTGCTGGAGGAGAACAGCCGTGTCTCTGCGAGGGGGGCTCTAGGCACTATTCCTTTCCTCATCTCCAGGCTCCTCCCGGCTCGTTGGCTTGGGCAGGGGTGCGACAAGGGTGGCTGCACCAGGAGCTGCTGGTGCTGCTCTGCCCCGAGCTTTGAAGCGGGCTCTAAATGAGCCGTGGGCTGTGCCCTGCAAGCACAACCTGCTTCCATTAACAAAAGGAAAAATATCCGAACATTTGTCATGGCCAAATTAATATTTCATAGCAACTGCCTAGGCTGTGAGGAGCTGAACAGTGGTGGAGGCTTTCCCACTTAGAGCTGACATCCATATTCCAGCTGTGCTGCTTTTGGAGCACACAATAAAACCTATTAAAGGACCTCTCATGGTCCCCCTGCACCCGCCCTGCAACCACGGCGCTTTATCTCCAAACTGCAGGCAGCTTTTTAGTACCCAACCAATTTAGTCTAATTAATACTCTGGACCCCACAGGCAAAACCTTGAATAGACCATTTGTTTCGACACTAAAGCACCATTAACCGCAGAGACGTGCCAAACAGGGCAAATGGGAGATGGCCATGGCAGCAGGGGTGGCCACTGCTGGGGGAGGGACACGTCCCGTGGGGGCACAGCTGGGCACTGCATCGGAATGGCTCCCTTCCCTTCCCTTCCCTTCCCTTCCCTTCCCTTCCCTTCCCTTCCCTTCCCCTCCCTCCCCTCGGTGGCAGTACGGAGGGAGGCCCTGGAAGGGACACGGGTGACCTTGGGAGCTGTCCCCAGGCCGCTCGGGTGCTGGGGTCCGGCCTGGACCGGTGCCACCCCTGTTCGGGGGCAGGAGCTGGTGGCGGCGGGCCCGCAGCCGCCGTGTCCCCGTGTCCCCGTGTCGCGCAGGGCCGGGGGGCACAGCGGGGACCCCGCCGGGCAGCGCCGAGCCCAGAGCGGAGGAGGCGGAGGAGGCGGAGGAGGAGGAGGACACGGAGGAGGACGAAGTGCAGGTGATCGAAATGAAGAGGGAGGGCGGCGGGGCGCCCCGCCCGCAGCAGCCGCCGCCCCCGGGCAGCCCCGGCCGCGGCTCCCCGCTGGACAGGGCGGCGGAGCAGCCCGGCCTGGGGAAGAAGAACGACATCTCCAGACACAGCTACTCCAGGTACAACACAATCTCCTACCGGAGGATCCGCAAAGGAAACACCAAACAGCGGATCGACGAGTTCGAGTCCATGATGCACTTGTGAACTGAGCGGGGAGTGCCTGACCACCGAGCCCTGGCTCTGGCTTGGTTTTATTTTCTCCCCCCAAACGTGTGTCTTCACACAGCACGAGGTCACTGCTTTTCTTCTTTTTGTATATGATTTATAATACACTGTGAAAATTTAACATCTTGGCTTTGACGGGGGCAGAGGCATCCGTAGCGCAGGAAAATAAATAATCAGTTTGCTAAATACACACCCCCTGGCTGCTCAGGGTATCCTCCTTCCTTCCCTCTGCCTCTATAACCGTGCTGAGAGCAGGGGAGGCTGCAGCTGGCTGGCTCCCCTCTGGCTGCCCCGGGCTGCCAGCCGTGCCGTAAGGAGCTGGCAGTGTGGCACCGTGACACTGCCAGGGCAGGGGCACCAAAGGGACACCCCCTGCTCTGTTCTGCAGTGCCCCTCTGCCAGCACTGCCTGTCCCAGCTCGTGCTGAGCTGCCACCAGGCCAGGGCCAGCTGTGGCCACGCTGGGGTGGCCTTGGGATAGGGGACTGGTGACCAGTGCCACCTCCAGAGGCACAGCCCCCTGTGCCTGCCAGTCCCTGAGTGCAGCTGGGGAGCCTGGCCACTACCAGGAGCACCTATTGTCCCTGTGCCACCAGGTCAGACTCTCTTGGGTGTCCTGATTTTCATCCTAAGTTTAGGTGCAAAATTTCAAAGATCATTTTGTCAAAACCAGGTGAGTTTTAATGCATTATTTTTGTCTCACCTGGATATTACCTGTCTCCATTTTGAAAGACCTTTGTGTAAGCACCATGCAGTGGTGGCAATCTTTGTAAACTGTTTTACTCTAGATTTGTCTGGACTTGGGACTTAGTTTTGCACTTGTCATCCCAGAAAGCATCTGGAAAGCTGAGGACAGCTGGTGAGGAAGAGGAGGTAAGGACGGAGTTACACAAGGCCTCCTGCAGCCATAAGTGCCTTTTTAAGGATTAGTTTTACATCTCCAGCAGCACTGAATATCGCTTTGGCTTTTCTTGTTCCACATAAAGGCAATTTTTTATTGGCAACGTGAAAATAATACGGGGCAATTCTGCATTGTGCCGGCAGACACAGCCCTCATTGTGCCATTCACACTTGTTTGTTTGCTCCTCGGCCCGGGGAAGTTCTGAGCTTTGCTTGTACCAACTTATACAGGGGGTCTGTTCCCGCTGGCAGCTGCTCTGGGGTGGCACGGCCCTTGGAGACTGTGCTGCTGCAGCCAGGGCTGCTGGGCAGGGGAGGTGTCCCCCTGGCAGGGTGGAACGAGGTGGGCTTTGGGGTCCCTGCCAACCCACACCGCTCCCATTCCGTCAGCGCCTGTGCCCGCTCCCAGAGCTTTCGGTGGAAAGGCTCCTGGAGGCTTGTAGAGACTCGGGCTGGCTTTTGGAACCTGGGGCTGGCTTTTGGAATCTCGGGCTGGCTTTTGGAATCTCGGGCTGGCTTTTGGAGCCTTGGGCTGGGTTTTGGAATCTCAGGCTGGCTTTTGGAATCTCGGGCTGGCTTTTAGAGCCTCGGGCTGGCTTTTGGAGCCTCGGGCCAGCTTTTGGAACCTTGGGCTGGCTTTTGGAACCTCGGGCTGGCTTTTGGAATCTCGGGCTGGCTTTTGGAGCCTTGGGCTGGCTTTTGGAGCCTCGGGCTGGCTTTTGGAACCTTGGGCTGGCTTTTGGAACCTTGGGCTGGCTTTTGGAACCTTGGGCTGGCTTTTGGAACCTCGGGCTGGCTTTTGGAACCTTGGGCTGGCTTTTGGAATCTCGGGCTGGCTTTTGGAACCTTGGGCTGGCTTTTGGAACCTCGGGCTGGCTTTTGGAACCTTGGGCTGGCTTTTGGAATCTTGGGCTGGCTTTTGGAATCTCGGGCTGGCTTTTGGAATCTCGGGCTGGCTTTTGGAACCTCGGGCTGGTTTTTTGCCTTCCTTGCAAAGCAGCGCTTGCTCAGCCGAGGACCGCAGCGCCCTCTCCTGCTTTCCTGGGTAAAAAAAGTGGGAAAATGAAAGCGCTGGGATGCTCGGGGGGCCGGAGAGCCCTGCCCGCCCGGCCTGTCCCTGCGGTGGGTGTGTGTGAGCAGGTGTGTGTGAGCAGGCAGGGAAGGGCAGGGAGAGGCGCTGGAGCTCTGCCCATCCCCGAGGGCAGGGGACACGCAGGGATCTGGACACTGTCCCTTGGGGCAGAGGCACTTTGAGGCAGGTGCTGGCCAGGCCATGCAGCCACAGCCCCAAAGCCTTTTCTCCGTGTGTGCCGTGCGGGTGCGGGCTGGTGCAGGGGAGCAAGGGGCAGAGCCTGGTGGGGTGTGTCGGTGACAATCGTCACCACACCCGCAGCAGGTGAGGCTGCAGCGCCAGCTCGGCTCCCTGCACCCAGCGAGGAGCCCACAGGCCAGACCCAGGGGAACTGGGCTTTGAAGGCTCCTCCTGGGGCGATGCTTCAGGGCCCAGCCTGGCAGTAACCCCGGAGAGGAACCAGGCTGGTTTGGTTTAACACACCGTGCTCACAGGAAGCAGCTCCATCCATTCTCATTTATTTTTATTTATTTTTTTTTTTACCACCGGGGGCAGCAGGGCCTGCTGTCCCCACCCCACACACAGTTTCCCCCGGTGCCTCGCTCCCCGGCCCCGCTGCAGCCCGGGGTACGGGCTGCCGGAAAATGCTCTCCTTTCTGGAACACTGGGCTGACTGGTGCCGTGGGAATGCGCTCCGAACTGAGCACCAGCTCACTGCCAGCAGCCCCCAGGCAGCCCGCCGCCGCTGAGCAAAGATCCAGCAGGGAAGTGAGCATTTACAGGAGCGGGGCAGCGGCGCGCGAGTGACAGGGCTGGCGATGGGATGTGACCGTGACATATGACTGCCTGCCGCCTGCTCGGTGACAAGTGATTGAATGTCAGCAAACAGAGTTTGATGAAATTCATGCTCCTGATACGAGCTGACTGCCCAAACAACGTCTGTGTCATTTTTCTGATGGTGACTGCGGGCTAGCTGCGCTGAAGGAGGGAGGGAAAATCAGGAAGACAGTTGGAATGGGAGTCAACTGGGAAAATCTGCTGGGCCAGTCAATATTTTGGCAGACTGAGCCTGTCAGATGCTGTCAGCGCTGATCCACCACGTCAGAGGCAGTGTTGTGCCAGGGCCCTGTGCACACCCAGAGGAGAGGGAGGGCTGTGGGGCAGGGCTGGGGCTCGGCTGTGCCCACCTGAGCACGGGGTGCCACGCTGAGCCCAGGCTCCCAAGGGCTGCCTGGAGCAGCCCCTCAGCTCAGCACAGGGCAGTGGGGCAGGAGGAGAGCACTGCCTCCCAGTGCAGCCCCGCAGGGTTCCGGGAGCAGCATCCCCCAGCAGGAATTCCCAGTGGGAGCAGGGCTGGAAACCCTGCCTGGTGTTTACTCTGCATCTACAACCTTGGCACACTGAATTTACCCTCCCATCAAATCCATCCCATCTCTGACTGGGGCTGGATCTTGGAGATGAAGAACTGTACAGTACAGACACTGACAGTGCCCGTGACAGTGAGTCCAGAGGGAGCCTGGTGTGCAGAGCCTGGCTGTGCCGTGCAGCCTGGGCTGAGGGAGCAGCAGGGCTCCTGGAGAGCCCCCAGAAAGCCACAGGGGCTGGGGGACAGGGCTGGGCTTCTGGCAGCCCCGGCGTGGGACACCCTGGCTGCCCTGGGAAGAGAAGCTTCCAGGCTGGCCCTGGAGTGCAGCAGGATAAACCCCTGGCTCCCTGCTCCAGCAGCTCCTGTCCCCACCAAGCCAAGCAGGGCACGTGTGTCCCCGCTGTCCCCAGCCCAGGGAAGGGCTGACCCACTCCCACCTCCCACTATGAAATGTGGGCTCCATTGGTGTGCAAGTGATTCCTCAGAGCCCTGATCCTCACCTTCACACAGCACGTCCCACAGGGAGGGATCCTGCAGCCAGATCCCCGAGGACACAGTGCTGGATTTTTTTGGTGCATTGATCGAGAAACTTCCAGTTTCTGTGGAGGAATGAGCAGCCCAATTTGCTGCTTACAGACTTACAGGGCCCTGGAAGTATTTTTGTAGCTTATGCTGCTGTTTGGGGCAGCTGAGGGATATCTGCTTACAGTAGGATGGGGACTTCAAAAAATATTTCCCTTTAATAATACAGAAAACGAGTTTATCCCAAAGTCTCCTGCAGAGAGGGAAAATGACGCTGCTCTGTTCAGGCCCTGCAGACGTGCTGCTCCGGGGGTTCGGATCCCTCCACGTGCAGGTGCCACATCACAGAAATGCACTTCCCCCTTGGTCAGCCCCGCCGCCGTCCCCTGAGCCCGCGGTGACGCCGTGGCAGCCCTGGTGCAGGGCTGCCCTCAGTCCGCGTGGTACCTGCTGAACTGCCACTTCTGGTGAGGGCTGCTGGGGTCACAGCCCTTGACGCGCAGCGCTCTGTACGAGGGATGCACCTCCAGGCACGCGGGCTGCGGGAGCTGCCGCTGCTCCCAGACCAGGTGGTCGGTCTGCAGGACAGAGAGGGGGCTCAGGGCTGGGCTCAGGGGGCATTCAGGCTCTGGGGCTCCTGCAGCAGCAGCAGCTCTCCTTTCCCTCTGAGAAAGCCCAGCTCCTTACCGTGTGCCCTTTTTTGGCTCGTCCCTAACACCCGAGATATCTCTGCTGACTTACGGGACTTTGGCTCGGGATCCAGGCCTGCAGCTGCTGCTGAGCCAGGATCACACACAGCAGTCCAGCCACACCCCAGCAGCCCAGTCCTGCCCTGGCCTTTCCTCTGCTGGGAACAGAGATGAGCTCTCACTGTCTGTGTGGCAGTTGCCATGCGGAGGGAGTCCCTCGGATGGGCTCTGCTCCACAGGGAATGTGCAGCAGGAGACTGGTCCTGTGTTTAGCTTGTGCTGATGAACCTGGCACTGACAGGATGCTGGGTAACTCAGCCCTGGAGCCCGAGTGCTGGGGCAGGGGAAGAACAAGGAGTCTGAGTGACCTCCACCCTTTTGCTTTCCACACCTGCTTGGATTACCCTCTCCAAGGCCTGTGGCCAGCCAGGAGATGCTGCAGGTGCTGCCCCAGGCAAGGGGCATTCCTGTGCCCCTCCTGGCACTGCAGTGGTGCTCAGGAGCAGCTCAGTAACACCGAGGTGAAATGCTCCTGGTGTGACGTGTGCCGGGGGCCTGGGCAGAAGCTGCACCTTTGTGCACACAGGAACTGCACTTCACATCCTTGGACAGCACAATGCCTGGTGTCAGGAGAGGGCAGAGCACTGCAACTCCTCCAGGCAGCAGCCACTGAGCTCTCCTCAGACTCCTGTTGCTGGCACCAGTAAAAGAGCACCATCAAATCCATCTCACCCTCAGCCGAGAAATCAGGCTGCAACAGGAGACAAGACCTGCCCGTGCCCTGTAACAGCTCCCTGGCCATTTCTGCATATTTTTCACAAAGTGAAATGACAATTTCACAATTTTCAGTAAGTGGATAAAAATTTTCCTGTATTTTTCCCTAAACACCCAATGTGAGCCTGTGGCATTCTGGCATTCAGCACTTTGGGCTGAAAAAACCAAAGGGCAACAGGAAATTGTCTGTATATTGAATGCTACATTTTTTCTTTCTTAAGTGAAGAGTGTTTTTTTCCTCAACAATAGACTATGCCATTTCAGAGCATTTTGGACAAGTACTTGCACCAGGCTGACAGAGGCGCAGCCATGACTCTTTGTGCAGCACAGGCAATTAGTGCAAGTATCCATTCTTCTCCTTTCCCTCGGTGCTGTCTTTAAAAACCCCTGCGAGCCGAGAGCCAATCGATGCTGGCTCATCTCCCCCTAAGTGCTATTGACGCTTTCTGTGTCACACCAGGCTGTGTGGGCTGTTTTGTTGCTGTGGCTGTGGCAGTGCCTGCATGTCCCAGTGTCCCCAGCCCGGCAGCCGTGCCGGGATGCTCGGCGCTGGGACGGACACAACCCCTGGCACAGGGGCAGAGGCCAGCACCTCTCTAGGGGACAGGTGGCCTTGGCAAAGCGGGCAGCACAGGGTGGGGTGTCCCTGTGGCAGGCTGTGCACCCCTGGCCCCCTGATGTCACTCACCAGCCCCGGCTGGGCGCTGGCCAGGGCCCTGTGGAGCCAGGCCAGGCTGCGGCTCCTGCCCTGGCAGCGGCGCAGCCCCACGGCTCCCACGGCACCCACCGGGGCCAGGCACAGCTCCCCGTGCTGGATCAGCCTCAGCCACGTGTAGTTGAACTTCTGGTTCTGTGGGGAGACAGCAGCAAGAGACACGGCCCCGTCACAGCTGGCCACAGCTGCTCTGGGCACCGGTGCCAGGGCCTGCCCAGCCTCCCTGCCAGGAATTCCCAATTCCCAAACTCCCATCCGTCCCTGCCCCCTGGCACTGGGAGCCATTCCCTGTGTCCTGGCACTCTGGGCACTGGGAGGGCTGTGAGGTACAGCTGGATGTCCAGCAGCTGCACACGCATCGCAGGCTGCTGTTTAAATCTTCGTTTTCATGTGCTTTATCAAACTTTCCCGACCAGCTGCATTTGCTGTTGTGGCCCTCTGCTTGGCTGCAGGCTGCTGCTGCCCCTCGCTGCTCCCAGGCACGGCCGGGCCGTGTCCCCGGGCGGGAAGGGCCGCGCTGGCCCCGGGCAGGGGACAGGTCACCGGGGGAGCGCACGGCCGGGGCCGTGCAGGCTGTCCTTACCGCCTTGTTAATGTCACACTCCTCGAACGCCAGGCTGGTGCCTTCCACAGCGATGCACCCCGCCAGGGCCACGTTAACGAGCTGGGAAACAGCAACGAAAGGCAGATTTAGACAGAAATCCCCAGGACGGGGGAGAGGATGTTACACTGAACCTGCTGGGCTCACGGGACTCTCAGATTAACACTGCCCACATAACGAAGAGAGGCAGAAAAGAGTGTTCCAGGCCAGGCTGGACGGGGCTTGGAGCACCCCGGTCTAGTGAAAGGTGTCCCAGCCCGCGGCAGGGATGGAATAAGCTGAGCTTAAGGTCCCTTTCCACCTAAACCATTCTGGAATTCTGTGGTGGGGGAGAGGGGGAGCCTGACCCGGCTTCTTCACCAGGCGCCAAGCAAGAGGCTTGTGCAGGCAGCAGGAGGCAGAAAAGAGTGTTCCAGGCCAGGCCGGACGGGGCTTGGAGCACCCCGGTCTAGTGAAAGGTGTCCCAGCCCGCGGCAGGGATGGAATAAGCTGAGCTTAAGGTCCCTTTCCACCTAAACCATTCTGGAATTCTGCGGTGGGGGAGAGGGGGAGCCTGACCCGGCTTCTTCACCAGGCGCCAAGCAAGAGGCTTGTGCAGGCAGCATTCAATCCAAAAGGCCTTTGAAATGCTCTCTGCCGCTGCCCCCGGCGAGGGGCAGGTTCCGTGCCCGGAGCGGTGCCGGCCCCGCTCCCGGCCCCGCAGCGCCGGGAACGCGAGCGGCTGCTGCGCTCTGCTGGCGGCGGAGCCGTGCTACAGAGCCTGCTCCTACAGACCCTGCACCTACAGAGCCGACCCTATAAACCCTGCACCTACAGACCCTGCACCTACAGCCCCCGCACCGTGACCCTCTGTGCCAGGGCAGGGGCAGGCAGGGTCCCCGGCCCCCTCGAGCGGCACCTCCAGCACGGAGGGTTTCTCACCCAGCCCTTGGCACAGCCTGTCCCAGCACAGCCATGCGCCCTGCACCTACAGGCCCCGACCCTATAAACCCTGCACCTACAGGTCCTGACCCTACAGCCCCCGCACCGTGACCCCCTTGCCGGGGCAGGGGCGGGCGGGGTCCCCGGGCCCCCTCGAGCGGCACCTCCAGCACGGAGGGTTTCTCACCCAGCCCTTGGCACAGCCTGTCCCAGCACAGCCATGCTCCCAGCTCGGCCATCCCAACACCCAGCCAGCCCCCCAGAGGGAAGCTTCCCGTCTGTCTGGGACCTGTTTCTTTACAAAACCCCTGGAGTGCAGAGCTCCGTGCCGTATCGAGCACCCCAAGGCGCGGGAGCCGCGCGGCGGGCACTGCCCGGGCACGGCCAGCCCCTGACAGGAACAGCCCTGGGGACCCACCAGCCCACTGGCTTTAACCAGCGGAGCGTCCAGGTCCGGGTACACGTTCTCCAGGTACCAGCGGAAGCTTTTGCAGCCGAGCTTCTCCCGCAGCCGCGTCTGCTGGCTCAGGTCGCCGACATCCACGGCGCTGCGCAGCAGGTGCTGGGCATGGCCGTAGAACAGCTCCTTGTACTCGTCCAGCCACACCTCTGCCACCCGCGCCAGGTTCCTCTCCACCGTCCTCACCCGGTCTTTGGGGAAGGAGTAAGGATTGTCGTTCCTGAAAATGTGCCCGACTCTGGAGCACGGAACTATCTCGATCTCTCCTCCGCACATCCAGACCTGAGGAACAGAGGTCAGGACAGACACGAGCTGAGGGGGCGCTGCCTTGGTGCAGGCCAAGAGAGGCAGAAGGCCAGGTGCCAGGGACAGGGAGCTGTCCCTGGGAGCCCCTGCCGGAGCCCCATCGCTCACCCAGGCTGGCAGGGTACAGCGGTGTGACAGCGACCCACCTTGAATGAAATCTCCATATTCTCCCCTCCCCAGACATCCAGTCCTGGGTCGTACATTCCCAACTCAGAAAAATACTTCTTATCGATGGAGAACAGGCCGCCTGCCATGACGGGGCACCTGGAACAGAGGCCACACGGTGTGACAGAGAGGTGTTTGGGTGGCTTTAGCTGGCCTGAAAGCCGTAACGGGGCAGGGAGGGGAAAGGCAGTGAAAGAAAGGCACTGAAGAAAGAAAGGCACTGCCAAGAAAGGCAGTGAAGTGTTCTCCTGGCTGACACACCAGCAGGGAAATGCATGGAGAAAAAGGCTTCTTGGACTTTGCCCATGCCTGATGGGGGGATTGCCTGTGCCTCACCTGTCCTGGAAAGCACAGGGACAATACTCTGCCAAAAAAATAACAACACTTGTCCTCAAAGGAGCCTCTGCTCCTAAATTATTACCAAAGGAACAGGCTGGTTTGCAAAGCTCTCGGGCCACAAAACAACAACATTTGTCCCCAAACATGTGTCCTCTGCTCCTAAATTATTACCAAAGGAACAGGCTGGTTTGCAAAGCTCTCGCATTTCTTCTTTTTTTTACCTTATTATATCAGTTTCGTTCATCTTATTTTTCTCAATGACCTCTTGTGGAATCTGCCTCCATCCAAAATTCATTGGCCAAGTAAAAATCCCACGCTGGAAGTTGTCCACGGTCATGTAACTAAACAGAGGAAAGATCGGGCTGACTAATTCTGAGCCACATTCCTGATTGAAATGTCACCCCTAATGAGAGAAGATGAATATCTGCGGGTAATTAAACCAGGACTTTAACAAATTTCATCAGGAATCCTCCTCATGTACTAAAAGTTGTGAAAAGGCAAAAAAGGTGTGTGATACACACGGGCCACATCCAGAGCCGCCGTTAATTCCACAGCAGTGCTCTGCCCCGTGGGAAGCTCTGCAGAGGGTGGGGGTCTGCACTCACGGATCCCGGCCTGCAGCAGACCCTGGCAGTGCCAGGCGTGCTCAGGACACAGCTGGACGGGGACGAGCGGCCTCACCTCATGTCCTTGTCGCTGATGACCTCGATGACGGGGCAGGCCACCTTGGTGCGGCGCAGGCGCACGCGCTGCAGCAGCGGCTCCAGCCAGCCCACGTTGCACTCCACGTGCGAGTCCAGGAACGTCAGCACAGCACCTGCAGCACGCGTGGGCAGGGTCAGCCTCGGGCATTCCAGCCCTGCCCTGCTCAGCAGCCCTGTGGGCTCGGGGTGCTGCTGACTGCGCCTCGGCCCTCCTTGGCTCCCCACACCTGCCCAGCCACAGCCAGGAGCGTTTTTTCCTTGCTTGGCAGGGTGGTTCCTGACAGAAATGGCCATTTTGGTGCTGACGCAGCCTGGCAGGGGCAGGCGGTGGGCAGGGGCTGGAGATCGTGGCAAAAGGACACCCTCGGTGCACTGGGAGGGACTGGGAGGGGTGCCCAGCACCTCTGGGGTCCCCACAGGGCTGAGCTCGGCTCCTGTCCTACCTCTGGCGACCTCAGCTCCCGCCAGCCTGGCCCGGATCAGCCCGTGCCTCTCCCGGAGGCGCAGGATCTTCACCTTGGGGAAGCGCGACATGTACGCGTCCAGCTGCTCCTTCAGGTACTCTGCAGGGCACAGCGAGCACCTCAGCCCGGCCGCCCTCTGGCACGGTGACGAGCCACAGCAGGCTGTCCCTGGAAGCGCCCCTGGGCACACCAGGCGCTCAGGTGTGTGGGCACGGCTCCTCGTGGGAGCTCTGAGCCCACCTGAGGCAGCGCTTGCCTGAGAACCAGCAGTGGGGAAATTGCACCACTCTGTGATTTTGGAGGGCTGGACCCAGCAGAGTGGAGGCATCGCACTGCAGGGGCTGGGTCCAACTGAAATGGCGATGGAAGGCCCCGTGCAGCGCAGATCCCTGCTCAGCACTGCTCCCCTGCAGCTCCCTGCCCTCTGAGCCACCCCGCAGCGTGTCCCCAGCACTGGGAGCACAGGACACCTGCCGGGAGCTGCACACTGAGGGCTGGGAGCATCTCCTGACCGCACAAGCCCTTGAGCCAGGACCCCCCAAAGATGAATGGGCAGGATGCAGCTCCCTGGTGCTCCTGGAGCTCCGGCAGCCTCTGCCTTCATCCCCCACAGCCAGCCCCAGCACGCCCCTGTCCTCTGATCACGCTCAGCCCCAGTGCAGGCCAGGCATGCACTTCAATACAGCAGAGCAGAAAATGTGATTCTCTCCTACTTGGAATTGAATTACAGAGGACAAATGGCGCTTTGCCCTCAAGTCATATTGGCTCCACAAAGGCACAAAGGCTCACGTACCCTTGGTGCTGCAGTCGTCCACCAGGATGATCTCCTCGACGAGGTGCGGGGGCGAGCGGCCGAGCACGCTGTGCACGGAGCGCAGCAGGGCCGACCACACCTCGTCCACAAAGCACATGATGATGCTGGTGCTCGGCAGGTCGTCCTGCACCCGCTGCTCGGAGCACCTGCAACGCAACACGGGCTCACGGGTGGCGGCCAGCACGCCCCTGGAAATCTGCAGGGCTGGTGCTCCCGGGAAATGTGCAGGGAACGGGAAAGTGCCCAACATAGGGAGGGAAAGCCCTGTGGTGGTGGGAGAGGAGGGGGACCCCACACACAGCCCCAGGGTCAGGATGGACTCATTGGCTCTGACAGGAACCTCTTTGGAAGGAAATTTAGAGGTGTTTCAGGGCTTTTCTGGCTAAGTGAAATCCACCCTAGAATTACTCTGTGTCACAACCCTTGAGATGCGTCTGTCTCAGGGAGGTCAGTGGGCAGAAAACACCAAAAAGCCCATTTTGGATCCAGTCCTGCCTCGCCTTGCTGGGCAGCTGGTGAGCAGTCCTACTTCATGCCCCCATTGTCCTCCACCACAGAATCCTGGAATAGTTTGGGCTGGAAGGGAACTCAAGGCCCATCTCCTTCCAAAGGCTCCCATGGAGGGACACCTTCCACTAAACCAGGTTGCTCAGAACCCCATTCAGCCTGGCCTCAAACTTCCAGGGACAGGGCAGTCACAGCTTCCCAGGGCACCCTGTGCCAGGGCCTCCCTACCCTGACAGGGAAGAATTCCCTCTCAATATCCCATCCATCCCTGCCCCTGGCAGTGGGAGACCACTGCTCCTTGTCCTGGCACTCCAGACCCTGACCCACAGTCCCTCTTCATCTCTCTTGGAGCCCTCGTGCACTGGAAGGGGCTCTAAGGTCTCCCTGGAGCCTTCTCTTCCCTTTTTCCCTCAGCCCCAGGACTCCTGATCCAGGCTGTGCAGGGAGTGCTCCCCACAGGCTGCTGCCCACCACGCTCCTCCTCGGGCCCTGTCCCCCACAGCAGGGACACAGCACCCGTGAGCACGGCACTGCCAGCAGAGCTCCAGGAGCAGCAAGCACTGAGCACAGAGAGGCACGGGCTGGCAGATCTCAGAGCCTAGTGCAGCACTCGGGGCAGAACCACAGCAGCAACTGCAGCCTGAACTGGGACAGACTGGAATACACCAAAGCATGATTGTTGGCTGCCAAGAGCTGCCACCAGCCCCTGCCCTGAGCCGGCCCTTACAACCTGGCTGTGCCAGCGGGCTGGGACAGAGCCTGCACAGGCTCCTGGCAGAACCAGGGAGCCAGGGCAGCTCGGTGCCCTTGGCAGAGCTGACAGCCCCGGGGATGTTTGGCCAAGGTGTTCCCCGTGACAGCAAAGCGTCTCCTCTGGGCAGGTGCGTCACTGCCGGAGGCGCTTCCTGCTCTGCACCCGGGGCTGGCCTTGTGCCACCTGGCTCAGGCCCTGTGCCCTGGTGGCTTCTGCAGGTGGCATCAGGGAGCAGCCCCAGCTGTGTCCCCTTTCCCTGCTCCGTTCCTGCCGTGCAGGTCTCAGCCAGCACCACCAGCACGGGCAGTGTCTGCAGGGCCGAGACGTGCAGGGCCAGTCACACACCTCAGGGTGACACTTCTCCAAAGCCAGGCTCCACATCCCTCCCTGCCCGTGCCCACAGGGCAGTCCCCAGGCCGCCTCTGCAGGCTGTGCCTGCTGCACGGTGCCAGCACTCAGCTGTCCCCCGCAGGCTCTGTGGAGCCACAGCAGCTCCCTGGCCAGGAGGGCTGCTGTCTCTTCCTCCAGGGAAGGGCCACGGCAGCCTGAGGTGTGAGAGCCCCTCTGGGCAGGGGGGCTCCTGCTGCCCTCACACACCCACGGGAACCAACCCAATAAATGTGACTGCTCAGAGCTGCACCTGACACACCAGGATATCAGAGCTGCACCTGACCCTCCAGGTGATCAGAGCTGCACCTGACACACCAGGATGTCAGAGCTACACCTGTGCCACAAAGTAATCAGAGTTACACCTCACACAGCAGGTGATCAGAGTTGCACCTGACCCTCCAGGTGATCCGAGCTGCACCTCACACACCAGGTACAGCGTCCCAATGCACAGAGAGGCCCAAACCCCATGACCTGTGCTGGCTGTCCTGGCCCCTTGGGCAGCTGGGCTCAGTGGGTTATGACCTGCAAACTTCACGCAGTTTCATGTTTAACAACGGGCTGCTCTGAGCTGGACAGGCACAAGCCATCTGACAGGTAGCACGGCTGAAGTGGAGGGCCTGGTGTGCCCCCAGCAGCCCTCCCCAGAGCCACGGAGCCACTGCCAGGGCTCAGCACGGGGGTTTGTGCAGGGGGAGCAGATCTTACCCGGCCGGCCTGGTGTCTGGGATGGCTCGATCCACGGGGATCAGATCGCTGAGGTAGACATTAAAGTTTCCTTCTTTCCATCTGCCTTTTGCTTCTTCTTGTTTATCATCAGGGACAGCAACAGGGTGTCCAAACTGGCCGGGAGCTCGGGGGTCTCTCGGGGTGAGTGTTGCATCCATGGACAGGACTCTGTGCGTCCCTGGGCTGCCCCCTGCTTGTTCCTGCCCATCCTGGCCAGTGCCAGCCACTGTAGGAGCTGCTCCCCTCTGTATCCCTGGGCTGCCCCCTGCTTGCTCCTGCCCATCCCGGCCAGTCCCAGTGGCTCCAGGAGCTGTTTCCCTCTTCTTCTCTCCATCCTGGCCAGTCCCAGCTGCTCCAGGAGCTGTTTTCCTCTGTTCCTGCCCATCCTGGCCAGTGGCAGCTGTTCCAGGAGCTGTTTCCTTCTGCTCTGGCCCATCCTGGCCAGTGCCAGCTGCTCCAGGAGCTGCTCCCCCTCGCTCCTGCCCATCCTGGCCAGTGCCAGCCACTGTAGGAGCGGCTCCTAGTGTCGTCCTAGCTGCTCCTGGTGTCGTGCCCAGCGTCCGGTTCCTGCCACCCACGGCGGTGGCCCCAGCAGTGGCAGCGTGGGCACCACCGCTGCTCTTGTCAGCAAGTTCTCTGTGCTGTCCCCGTCTCCCTGCGGCGTTCCCCGCAGCCTGGGGCCCGCGGCGCGGGGCTGCGGGGCTGGCGGGGCTCATCCCCCCGGTGCTAATGGGGATGAAGCGAGTTTCGGAGGGAGTTTCTCCGCGTCCCGTGTTTGTCTCCTCTGCTGCAGGCTGGGCTGCGGGGCCGGTGTGTCCCGCCGTGCCGGGGGTACGCTGCTGGCTGTCCCGGGCTGCGGGGCCGGTGTGTCCCGCGGTGCCGGGGGTACGCTGCTGGCTGTCCCGGGCTGCGGGGCCGGTGTGTCCCGCGGTGCCGGGGGTACGCTGCTGGCTGTCCCGGGCTGCGGGGCCGGTGTGTCCCGCGGTGCCGGGGGGACGCTGCTCGCTGTCCCGGGCCCCGGGCAGCGCCGTGCCCGTCCCGCCGCCGGGGCCCGGGGGCTGGCGGGGCG